GGCCCAACTCTACATATACACGTCAAATTTGAAATTCCCTTCACTCCTGAAGATTGCCTAGTGCATGAAACAGCCTGTAGAGTGAAATTACAAGTTCCTTATTATTAGTATTATTATTATTATTATTATTATATATATATATATATAGCTTGTATTCCACTATTTGCATTATTCCACTATTTGCATTCACACCTGGGCTGTGTACATATATTGCCTTGGTTTGGCTCTGTAATCATTAGTGGTCTTGGGACTAGTTTGGGCCCTACCTAAGCTGGTCGAACGTTTCGTTTGGGTCTGTACCCTAGCTGCACAGATGAGGCCTGGAAGGCCGAAACGGATCCGTCTGCAGATATTCCTATTCCTTCCAGTGGATGCTTAGTTTATTTTGTCATTCTGATCGGATTTTCTCTACTGTTCCGTTTTAATTTTAATTTAAATTGTTTTGCATTATATGGCCGTTTGCTGTTTTATGGGTTTTTCCCATTTGCCTTTCAAACATCATGACTATTGGGCATACAAAAGTTTTGTAGAAAATATGATACTGAGTGTGTGGACAGAGCATTAAGGGGTAGAAAAGTGTATGGAGGAGGAAAACAAAATAACTTGAGGTTGTTACTTACTCCTCATACATTATTGGAGACTTTGACTGAATTTGCCATATTTTCTCAAATTTAGAAGATTCCTGATAAAAAAAAAATATAGAAAGATGGTTAATTAAAACAACATGATGTAAGGTTTTACATTACCAGAGTTTATAATGGGTTACCCCTTCGCCACCATTTTTTTTTTAGCAAAGCAATAGAAAAGTGCTGTTAGATTACTTCATTAGGCCTTCTCGGGTTAAATGTTATTCAATTCATAAATTGAATTAGTCCAGCCTATGCATATTTTTGCATGCCTATCCCAAAAAGCAAGGATAGCCTATTTATTCTACTTTCAAAGGCTTAGGACTAGCATAGGCTGGTTGTGCCTATTGTAGAGATGACAGATGGGCCTACGTACACAGCACAACACCAATAGCCCTGCTGGTCTAGCTAGACATGCCTACTAAGTAAGCTAGGCACATCATAGGATGCAACTCTTTGTGCAATCGTCATAGCTTTATAGTAAACAAAAACCCTGAGAATATTATTCACCCGAAGAATCAACTTCCTGAGTAAACGATGATTTTTCCGGTAGTTACTTCCAGCAATTCTCTGTCTATCGAAAAGTTGCACCACGATACTCATCTTCTTCTCTCTTTGTTTGTTATTAAAGTCACGGCTGAAGGAACACATAATTCCGGTAGAGGGCAACAAAGCACAGACTTTTACATCAGACGCAGCGAGGCTAAAGTCAGCCACGCTTTGCGAAAAGCAGACAGACATTTATTTATTAATTTATTTGAACATACAGTACACCTTTGAATCGGTGGCACTCAATATCAATTGGTGCGTTCGTACAAACACAAAAAGAATAACATTTAACAAACAAAATAATAACAATCGACTGTATAAAAATTAACATTACACAATTTGATAAGCAACAATACATTTACAGTAAACTATTGTTGTGAATTTTTTAGTTGTGAACGTTTCTCCCAAGCATTCATGATGTATTTTTTTTACAGAAATTATCAAAAATAGAGGTAGATGCATCACAAATAAAAACTGAATCTCCTCCTAAAAAATATTGAAGTTTAATATCGTCATTTGTTGTTGAAAAAAGTGTCCATGTATCATAATCGTTACAGAGTAGAAGGTCATTTTCAAGATTTGTTAAATGTTGTTTTCTAATGATATTATAAGCGGGACAATTTAGTAAAAAATGCTTGACATCTTCAATTTCTCCACTTTCACATAGGGTGCAAATGCCTCTGAAACATCATTTGACCATTTACACGTTTTACAATCAAGGGATAGGTTATTAGATCTTAATTTAAATTTTAGGCTTGCCCCAAGAAAATTTGTTTTTTCTAACAAATATTTTTGTAATTTAGGAGAAACTTGAAGTCTTGAATAATTAATTAATAAAGGTTTTTGCAATAATTTATTTGACCACTCTGATTTACACCATTCTGATACATCACGTTCTACAATATTGACAGAGAAAGAATTAAACATTAAATTGTCAAAATCAAAAACATGATTATAAAAATCAATATCAGGACATTCTGCAAAAGTATCTACACAACTAATAAGAATTATTATATTTATTATATTTTAAACTAATAAGTCGCATTCAAGTTGAAGCATACATTTAAGTACAGTACTACTGTATATTAGGCCACCTGTAATTTTCCATGTTAATAAAGCGATTAAACAATTTAACTCTGGTAACTTCATGTGTTTGAGATAAGGGGACCCATCCTAAGTCTCCATAAAGAGCCTCTTTGGGTGTATAAAGAGGGGCTTTTAAACGGGCCATTTGAATAGCCTGGGCGATACCAAGGAAAGAAATGATAAGGAGAAAAGGAAAGGAAAAGATAAGGTAACATCATAATGAAAAATGAAGGAAAGTTATGTGGACATAAGAAAAGGACAGGAAATGAGGATTGGGAAATACAGGCAAGGGCTGTGAGAAAAGGATAGACATGACAAGCGAAACACGTAAGAAAAATTTAAACTGTGAAATAGTTGAATGTATAAGAGATCAATAATAAATTGAAAAGTAAACAAATGGAATGAGAAGGTAATTGAAAGAAAAAAATAAAATAAATAAATAAATAAAAAATAAATAAATAAAAATAAAATAAATAAATAAATAAATAAAATAAAATAAAATAAATTAAAATAAATAAATAAATATTCATTCATAATGTTAACCTGATTTCCCTCACTGTTGTAATCATTTTTCTTTTATTTTGATCCGGTTTTTCCTTTCATTGTAAAGCGCTTAGAGGTTTCTTGCATTTTGCGCTATATAAGAATAAATTTATTACTATTATTATTTTCGCGAAGGTAATTTGAACTTTCGACAAAAACCTTGTACCAAAAAATATTATGATCGACCACTTTTATTATGGGGCGCCAAACGACACACTAAGAAGAAAAAGAGGGGATCATCCAAGAAACCATCATTAACTGTAATTGGAAACTCGCATCTAAAAACCATAGATGTCAAGCGTCTTCTCCCAATGGCAAACGTCACGATGAGAGCAGCGTACACGCTCTCGGAAATTAGTGACGCGCTTGAAAATCTCCAAGAATTAGACCCAGACTGTATCGTTATACATGAAATCACAAACACTATTAAAGACACGAGCGCAAAGGAGTGTGCACACGCCTTGTATAATATGACAAAAGGTTATGCCATCGAATTCCCAGATACCTATTTCGTCATTTCTCTGGGTCTACCGAGAATAGAACTCAATTTCAAAACAGAGATGGTAAACGCCGAAATCAAGCACGCAATGAGACTTGACAATCTACCTAACCTGACATTTTGTGATAACAGCAATTTTCTTAGAAATGGAGATATTATTTACCATTTACTAGCCCGTCTGTACAAAACATATTTTGTAAAGGACAAAACATGTTTTGTCGAGACAAACATGGTTTTGTCATTTACAAACATCTCAATGATCAAGTTTAATTGACTCCTCCTCCCCATAAATAAACATCTTCTCATGAATTTACGGAACATGTTTTGTCTTTTACAAAACATGTTTTGTAAAATACAAATGTTTGTCTTTTACAAAACATGTTTTCTAAGCGACAAAACATGTTTTGTGTTTGAGTGAACGACAAAAACATGTTTGTAAGAGACAAAACCATGTCTGTCCCCTACAAACATGACAAAACCATGTCTGTCCCCTACAAACATGACGAAAAAGGTAGTGTGTCGTAAGGCGCCCTTAAGGCGCCGAACGACACACACACTATCTATAAACATGGTTTTGTCACTTACAAAACATGTTTTGTACAAACATGGTCCAGTTTTGTCTTTACCAAAACATGTTTTGTGCAGATAAACATGGTTTTGTCATTTACAAAACATGTTTTATCGAGACAAACATGTTTTGTCATTTAAAAAACCATGTTTTGGCGAGACAAAACATGTTTTGTACAGACAAACATAGTTTTGTCCTCACAAAACATGTTTTGTCTCGACAAACATGGTTTTGTCCTCACAAAACATGTTTTGTCTCGACAAACATGGTTTTGTCATTTACAAAATATGTTGTTGTTGTTGCTCAATTCCTGGGCAACAACATGGTTGGGGCGAGTGGATACAGAAAGTTCTGTATTTGGGGGTGCAAGGCTAAGGCCTTGATAAAGCAGAATAGGCCGACGACGGGCCTGGAGGCCGACGACGGGCGGGCCTGGACTTAAGTCTCGCTGCCGGTCTGCAGCATGATCTCTATCAACTGGATTATGTATAGACGTGTGACCGTTCGCTTGGCAGACTTATCAAATCAGAATAGAAGGAAACCTATCTCATGTGTGAGTGACGGCGTTATTAGTTTATCACCCCCTCCCTCATCACTATTAATTAGTTTATCACCCCTCCCTCATCACTATTAATTTATCACCCCTCCCTCATCACTATTGGGGAAATTCTGATTTTTTTTTCAATCAACATATATTTTTATTTCAAACGGTCGTTTTTCCATCTTTTTTCACTTGAAAAGCTCAGGATTTCTTGCAAATATGTTTACTGGTAACAAAAACATATTTTTAAATATACATTTGATTCCATTATTATGACTTTTTATATATGTGTCCCTAACCATTGATTTACTTGTAAACATCGGTAAAATGGGGGCGGTGATAGCAAAAGAGAAAAAAAAAAACCTCCCTCCCTCATTAGTTTTTTTTATTATACCAATATGTCAAGAATTAAGAAAGTATCAGTCCCACACAGTTCCTCTACACTCTCAATAAATTTTATTTCATTCATTTAATTTTCATAAAACAAACATTTGCAACATTTGAATTGACTGAACAAATTGATACAAAATTCATATTTCAATTTAATATTATAATTATTATTATTATATGGCATCAATTGTTATATCAGAAGTTTATATATATATATATTGTTTTTGTATCATGTGGACATTGTTTCCTAATAAAGATTATTATTATTAATTATTACAATATGCTGCTATATATAATTCAGTCAACAAACATTTCTGCAACAATTATAATACAGGATTCAATACCAGAAGAAGTCAACATGTTTTCACTGTGATTATTAACATTAAATTCTATTAAATTCTTTAACTATTGTTGAAACATTAGAATATGTAAAGTAAAATACGTCAAGATAGGTTGAACAGAAAATACACAATGAATTATGTAAGAGAACACTATCTATTTAATGTCACAGAGAAGAGCAGCTCCACGTAAAATCCAATGGTCTGGGGTCTGCACAGTCTTCAACCACAGTGGTGTAATGTAAGTCAAGTCAGTTCTCTGAGGTTTCTTGTAGACGGGACATTGATAGAGGCGAGGGTCTTTAGGTGCAGTAGAGTTAATGGCAAAGATGTGTACAACAGGTAATAAGGTGAACAAGACTTTAGGGGAGGATTCCATCAGCTTACAACCTTTACGATCCCAGCCAGCACCATCTAGGTATAGACCATGTACATACACTCCTTCCTGAGGGTATAGAGTATTTATAATAATACAAACAATAACAACAATTACAAAAATAACAAAACTGTAGCTACTGTATATCAGTAAAGACCTTTTCTAAAGTTACCAATAATTTTGTTGAGAAGCTTTGTATTTTTTTTTACTAGTTTTAAACATGTTAAACAAATAAATTGTTAGTTCTTAATAATTCTGTCATTGTTTAACTTGTACATTTTAAAAAGTTATGAGATTGTTATTGTTTGCACTTGCATATTTTTCAAATTATAAAATAAATGTTTGCATTTCAGCTTCTGCAACTTAATGTATGTTATTAATGTTAAACTTACTGGTGGTGGTGAGCCTATGTCTTCCTTGAAGGGTCTGATGACCTCATTGTGCAGGGTGACAGAATCTAGAGCCCAGCCCTTATGAGCTCTCGTCACTTCTTGACGCATTGCAGTCAGAAAACCTACCAAAGAAACATCAAATGATATCAAATAGACACATCAGATAAAGGTTAATGAATATACATACAGCAGATCTACAACATTACTCCTGCTAATCAAATGGCCAACAACAAAATTTATCTTATTAGCAGTAGCACTTTTTTTTCCTAATGTTTTACAAATAAAAGGAAACTTTGCAAGGAAGATGCCAACATTCAAGATGGTCAATTATACTGAAAAACAATGAATGTAATATAAATATATTATATACAGAACTGCTTCATTACCTTGAGGGTTGAAGAATCCAGTCATCCAGAAGACATTAGGTCTGCCATCCCAGATCCAACTGGAGAACTGTTGGTTACGTTCCAAGAACTCTGTAAACCAGAACCCTAAGGTAGACGATTCCCATGATATTTTTCGCCACAGAGCTGGTACTCTTGCATCATACATGTTATCTAAAGCATCACGCAGGCTCTGCATATTAAAACAATAATTATGACAGATAAAAGACTACCTACTTATAAGTATTGTAAAGATGCATCTATAAACACATGCACCTAAAATAATCTCTACTGAACCAATCTTATGTATTTTAAGTAGAAAATAATATTAAATAATTGTATATAATTCATTACAAACATTTGTGCTTTAACAATTTCAAATACAAAGACGATTCCAAGTTTGTGACTTACCTCACTCATAATGATAGTGCCTTCAATGGCTAGGCCCAAGTCCAGTAACGTGGAGCGCACTAGGCCAATTACTCGCTGCATTCGGTCTATCTCCTGACGTAGGAAGATGTTCATGGATGAAAGAGCTCCCATCTTCTGTAATCGAGCTTTCACCTGAAAATTCATGTGATAATTGATCATTATTTATGTAAATATAATCATTAGTCATTTTGTTTACAAATATTGTCATTATCAAAAATGAATATAATAATGATGCTGATATAAATGATGATGCTTGGGGTGGCAAGGATAATGATGATATTAATGATGAACTTGAATGTTTTAATGAGGATGACGATGAAGGATGACAAATAATTAAATGTTGTATATTTCTTAAGAGATGGTGGTAAGGTGGCCAGGGGTTTAGAGATGACCACTTGATGTGTTGAGCTTTAGCCCATGTCATCCCTAGTCACGCCCCTGGTCAATATTTATTTTTAAATTTATTGTGATGACTATGTATTAAATAAATAAATTCCAGAATATAGGAATGGCATAAAAATATGTATAATACACAGTACATTCATAGACATTAAATCAATTTTACCACCTTATGGCTTGATGAATCATAAACATACAAATGAAACCTCAACAGAAATGAATACATTACATAAATACAAAGGGAAATAATGAAAGCTATACAGCAGATTACCAGATGGGGAACATAATCTGGGGGGAGTTTTTCCAACATATCTTTTGCTATGCGGCTGACTAGACTTTCTCTGGTCTCTCCACCTCCACCTCCACTGTCCTTGGGCTGTATGTTAAGGATAGTATCCAACACTTCTTTTGATGTGTTGCTCTGGTACCTTGCAAGTTAAAGAAGATAAGATATACTGTAAATATGTTTAAAATGGTGATTATGTATAACAACAATGACATAAATATGTGTGTATAATGTTTTGTTGAATGTTAAAATCATTGTATTTTTGATGATGTTGCAATTTGATTATGTCAAATAGATAATAATGATAATGATGTAATATAAGAGCAATCATTGATACTTACGTGATATCTGCATTGGGATGCAGTCCAAACACCTGAGGTGTGTCAGTAAGTGGTAGAGTTTCAATATGCTCCATATATTCATGAACAGTCTTGCATTTTGGGATCTTATATCCAGTGTAAAAAGCAAATGAATCCGGGAACATATGCTCACCAAACCACACCTAAGAAAGCAATTACCTGTTAACTGAAAATCTATTTTCTTTGCAGATATTTATTGGTCATAAGATGACAACTCCACATGTAAATTTCAAAGTCCACATTGTAACAATATTGGCAACGATTAATTAAGAAACATAAGATAGTCGGCATGAAAGGAACTTCAGATTTTAATGGCCTAATGGTCGAGTTACACAACAGCCAAAGTACTGCACCAAGCTAAAATTGACCTTAATTGTAAGCCTATTTACAACATTTTTGTTATGAATTCCACATCAGTGGCAGCACTAACTGGGATCAGGGGGATTAAGGTCCTGTCGAACAGACCGAGGCCTCATCGGCCACAACTTGTTGGACCCAAATGATATTATCATGTGCATATTAATTCCTAGGACCTCTCAGAACAACTTAAATGGTTCATATTTGCATAGGGTCTCGTCCACAAAGGCTTCGTCTCCTACCCTGACCGGTGCCCTGCCAATTATTGTCTTCCTTCTTAATTATAAGACACTGTTGATGTTATTCTGATCTATCATTGTTCTTCATACCTTTGCAAACGTATTTAGAAGTCTTTTGTCATAGTCATCTGTAACTCTGCCTCCATACTGTACTTCTCCTAACATGTAGCGAACAGTGTTCCATGAAACACCCTAACAACATTTATTTAATCAAAGTAAATAAAACAACATTTCATTAAAAAAAGTTGTAATAGAGAAACTGAAGTAAAAAAATCCACTTATTGTCACAATAAATTTACATTAGCTGTATATTGGTTAGTTCAGTGGAGTCAGTTTCAATTCAGAATATCAAAACACACTGCTTTGTTTTTTTGACAATTAAATGTATTTTATAAACAAATCTGACATCAATACATTAAAAACGGGGAAAGCTAATACTATATTGATAATTACCTTTTTAGGGTCAATATCATCAAGATGATTTTGGATGAACTGGACACTGGCCGTCTGATCAGCTGCGTTGAACTCATATGGTATATTCCATCCAAGAGGTCCAAACTTACGGCGTTCCTAAGTAAGAAATCTCATAATGTTAATAAAGTTAGGAACGGTCTACATGAACTCTGGTCAGAACAGTGTGCTGCTGTTGATTATGATGACTATTAAAATCATTCTGATTATGATATGATAATAATTATAAGGCAAGATATAATTTACTGTTATCATACACAACCAGTGGCGTACATTCATTTGCCTTGATGTAAAAATTATTACACACATAATATAAAAATACAAAAAAATTGTTGTAAATAAGTTAACGCAATATATTACAAAGAAGAAAACCAACACACATCATTTAACTTAACACACATCATATTGAAATAACTACACATAAACTGATAACAATTATAATGATTACATTTGTGGTTGAGAGTAAGAGTATGATGATAGTGTTAATGATGATGAATGAATGAATAAGGTATATGATCATTATGATGATAGTTATGATTGATGATGGTAATCATTAAACTATTAAGAAATACAATGAGATAAATGATCATTACAAACCTGTACTGTTGTATGTAGCATAGCAACAGCGTATAACATAGGTTTCCATTGGGGGAGGTTATTAATATCTAGCTGGTCTTGAGTAATACTGGCAAATGTTCTTTTCAATCCTGCTTTAACACCTTGAGGGGGCTCATTAGTAAATTTGATGCTGCTCTATAATACAATATTCAAATTTATACATTAATTTAATTAATTATATTTTTTTCTGTCTTTCAACTGAATAGAATGTGTTACTTTTAAGATTTCTGAATAACTGATTTACTAGAACCTTAAATTATATGTACAGATTAGTCATTCACAAGGGAGGAACATAAACCTGGATTAGAATCTTAGTGAAACAACTGGTGAGTAATAATATATAAAATGAATCTGGTAAATTTGAAGTACTGTACAGACTTACCTGAAGCAGATTGATAGGAAAGAGTGGATGCCCCTCTGTTGTGATCCACACTCTAAATGATTCATGTACATTCTCTTGATTGAGCACAGTGTCAAGAAGCTCATCCATGAAGTCCAGACCAAGATGGCAGTTCTGAAGCAACACCCAGCCACCCTATACAAATCATATGGATTCAAATTTAACAAAGATATATAAAGTGAAAATTTTAGCTTTTAATATACACAACTCAAAAATAGCCTGGTCCAAGATAAATGAGAACAAAGTATGTGGGGTACTGTACATCTACTGCTACAGCCAATTCCAATTAATGCCTTACCCCGGATGCTGACTGTTGGACAAGCCGTCTAGCATGCACTTCCTGCCCCTGACCCATCGAGATAGCACGGCATTCTGAAATTAAACATTAGTGAAGCAAATTAATATCAATTCTACAATTACATTTTTGTTGTATAATATTTTGCAATGTGGCTTGTTCCCATACCCATTTCCTGATATGTAAGTCTAATCATGTAAACACCAGGATCATTTCTGATTTCTACAACGAATGCCACTTGATTAGGCCTCATAATTAATAAAGCACCCCCATAAATTTTACAAATTTGTAGCGAGACCATTATATAGAGTGCACATCAAGTTTTGACTACAAATATATATCAAAGAAATAACTGACCAACTTTGAGTTTTTTTGCAAGGCCTTCAATCTGGTTAGTAGGATCTGAGCCCATTGATAGGAAGCAGATGAGAGGAGTTCTGATGTCACTCTCTTCCCACGTCTTCTCTAGGTCAAGTATGACTGGGTCAGCATAACGCGCACCTTGCGATGATGCAATGTATTTACGTGCTTGTGGAATGGTACGGTCAGGACACCACGACCTATCAACAGGTAAATTACACAAAATAAGAACTGATGTTCCCTTTAAGAATGAACGACCTTCTGCTAAGCCCTATGCCTTGGATATTGTAGCTGAGGTGTGGGACAGTGAAACATATGTATGTTTCCTGGGACATGTGCATATTCCCAGCTATTAAGTATCACATTCTGAGTCCAATTAAGTTTCTTGTTCAAAGGTGTTTATTTTTCCATGGATTTTTTATTTTTGCAAACAAAACGACAACCGAAGAGGACAACAGTACAATAACAGTATAATGACTACCACTGATATACATTACATTTTGATGCAAGAATTCAGAGTGGTGATCTTGTTATGAGAATAATTGTAGCAGTCTGATTATCTAGGTAAGTATCAACAAGACAGAAATTTAAAATTAGTAAATTGGAACAAGATACAATTGCAATAACAAGAGATGTATTATTAAATAACCTTGAATTGTGATTGTATATGGCTTAATAAGAACTCACCTGACCAGCAGGAGCTTTCTGTATGTATCTAGAGAGCTGTTGTACCCATCAGGAATGATTTCTTCCTCAGGAGCATCCTTATCAAACCACTGCTTCCATCCACGTTCATTTCGAGTAATCTAGTAATCCACCAGGAAAGAGGGGAATATTACTATATAAACTAGATTTGAACTTCATGTTTTAAACATAGAAACTTAAATTACCCAGTTAAAACTAAAATATAAAACCATATATAACAATGAAAACTTAATACTTAATGTAATACGAAAACTACTCCTTTAAAGGTTGGCAAATTTAGAGAAATATATAAGATTTCTTGATGAACATTTTTTCATTAAGTTGTAAAACATCAGATCATAATACTTAATCTGAGATACAATTTGTATACTGTTTACATACCTGGTTGAGAACTTCTGAGAACTGTGGTAATTTACTCAACTCTACTAAATTCAACCATGTCATATCAGTAATCCACTTGCAAGGTTTAGGTTGACATGCCTTTAAGTCCAAGGCTGCTCCACCTACAGAAAACCAAAAACAGATATTGGAGTATTCACACATTTCGGAATACGAGCCAGATAGCCAATAACATTATCAAACACTAAAGTTTATAGCTTTATAGGATTTTTGCTTTCCATTTAATAGATCACATCCTCTCTTTTTATGTAAGAAAATGTTGATGTATCTCATACACATACATCAAGTGAATTGGTCAGTACATTAATCCCTTACCAAATTGTGTACTGTAGTTATTATGTACAAGGGACCATCTTACCAGAGTACACAAGTGAAGATCAACATTGGCAAGTTTCAAACCTTAATTTCTTATTGCTGAGCCACCACTCATTTTTTAAATAGACTGTCACAGGATAATGACAAGTACGTACATTAAGTTGTATTCACTAATCATATTCTGATAATAATTTTTACCTTTAATAAGTGTTTGGAATTCCTGATGTTTGACATTTCCCTTCTGCAGGTCAATCTTCAATGCCAGCAACATAGTAAACAAGAATTTGTGGTTCTCATAAAGACCACGGCAGGAGTAGCAGAATACCTCGTACGTCAAGTAATCAATAATATTAGCAATCCGCTTTGCAGGAATCGGAGATTTGTCAGACCTAACAGTTTTAATGACAATTGAAATATAAATTTCTTTCTCAAACAAGTAGGACAATAATCTCCCACCAATTATGCAAGAAAATATTAACTAAAATTAGGCAATAAAAACGTATAATATTTTGAACTGTATTAGTTCTTTTACCTTGCCATTGAAATGTCAAATATACCAAGGAACTGTTTAAGTGATGTCTGGTACATCACATTCACCATACTCATCTCAGTGATCAAGAAATACAGAATGCTGCCTCTAGTTGCAACTGAAAAACAAATCAAAGATAATTAAAGATAATAAAATATCTGGGAAGTGAATATCTTTAAAGGGGGGTGGGGCCATCATCCATAATTTAAACATTTTCATAAGAGTACAAAACATACTCTTATCTGTGACTCCCCCCCCCTGAAAGATCAAACAATAAAATGTTGATTTGTGTCATTTTCAGATCAACATTTTACATTTTTTACAACAGAGTACTTATGCTTACACATCCAATACCCAACCCCTGAAGCATATGTTTTGTACTCATTTGAAAATTATGGATATGTTATAATTGAAATGATGAAATACATACCAGGTCTAAACTCTTCTCTAGCTTCATTAATTTTGATCTCAGTTTCAGCAGCAACTACAAGTTTCTCAGTGACCTCTTCTGCAGTCACTTTAGTGACACCAAGTACGGAGATCAAGGATTCATCTTCCACCAGAGATCCCTGAGTGCTGGTGAGACGGAAGAGAAGGTTGTCTTCCAGTTCTTTCATCTTGCGTTTGTTGGCTGTCACATCTTCCATTAGTTTGATGCGTTCTGATTCTAGCTCTTGCTTCTCAGTGAGGATGACACGGCCCAGAAGCTGATCCTCAAGTCCTTTCATGGTGACAGTAAAATCGATGATTGATGTTCTAGCTGATACCTAGAGATGAGTTATGACAATAGTTAATTAAATATTCAAAAAATTAGGAAACATTAGGCAGAAAAGTTTACTATGAAATTCACTTGAATTACTGTTAATATTACCTCTGGTGTGTATGTTGGATTTGCCAGTTTGGTTGTGACATACAGCTTAAATCCATTCATCACATCTACTTCTTTGTCACCAACTTTAACCTGCAACAGAATGAATAATGCAATAGTGGAGTGTTAGATGTAGTTGTAATGGTGACAATAACAATAATAAAGTGGCTGTAGTACAGTAGCAGCATTACATTAACAGTAGTACAGTAGTAGCAGTATAGTAGCAGCAATAAAGTAACAATCATAAATTTAACAGCTGCACAGTAGAAGCATATTTTTAAAGGTTTTTATAGTAGCTGCATTACATTAAAAGTAGTACAGTGGCAGCAGTATAGTAGCAGCAATAAAGTAACAATTATAAATTTAACAGCTGCACAGTAGCAGCATATTAACAGGTTTTTTTTTTTTTTTTTTTTTTTATAGTAGCAGCATTACATTAAAAGTAGTACAGTAGCAGCAGTATAGTAGCAGCAATAAAGTAACAATTATAAATTTAACAGCTGCACAGTAGCAGCATATTAACAGGTTTTTTTTTTTGTTTTTTTTTTTATAGTGGCAGCATTACATTAAAAGTAGTACAGTGGCAGCAGTATAGTAGCAGCAATAAAGTAACAATTATAAATTTAACAGCTGCACAGTAGCAGCATATTAACAGGTTTTTTTTAAATTTTTTTTTATAGTAGCAGCATTACATTAAAAGTAGTACAGTGGCAGTAGTATAGTAGCAGCAATAAAGTAACAATCATAAATTTAACAGCTGCACAGTAGTAGCATATTTTTACAGGTTTTTATAGTAGCTGCATTACATTAAAAGTAGTACAGTGGCAGCAGTATAGTAGCAGCAGTAAAGTAACAATCATAAATTTAACAGCTGCACAGTAGTAGCATATTTTTACAGTAGCAGCATTACATTAAAAGTAGTACAGTGGCAGCAGTATAGTAGCAGCAGTAAAGTAACAATCATAAATTTAACAGCTGCACAGTAGTAGCATATTTTTAAAGGTTTTTACAGTAGCAGCATTACATTAATTGTAGTACAGTGGCAGTAGTATAGTAGCAGCAATAAAGTATAACAATCATAAATTTAACAGCTGCACAGTAGTAGCATATTTTTACAGGTTTTTATAGTAGCAGCATTACATTAAAAGTAGTACAGTGGCAGCAGTATAGTAGCAGCAGTAAAGTAACAATCATAAATTTAACAGCTGCACAGTAGTAGCATATTTTTACAGTAGCAGCATTACATTAACAGTAGTACAGTAGCAGCAGTATAGTAGCAGCAGTAAAGTAACAATCATAAATTTAACAGCTGCACAGTAGTAGCATATTTTTACAGGTATTTATAGTAGCTGCATTACATTAAAAGTAGTACAGTGGCAGCAGTATAGTAGCAGCAGTAAAGTAACAATCATAAATTTAACAGCTGCACAGTAGTAGCATATTTTTACAGTAGCAGCATTACATTAATTGTAGTACAGTGGCAGTAGTATAGTAGCAGCAATAAAGTATAACAATCATAAATTTAACAGCTGCACAGTAGTAGCATATTTTTACAGGTTTTTATAGTAGCAGCATTACATTAATTGTAGTACAGTGGCAGTAGTATAGTAGCAGCAATAAAGTATAACAATCATAAATTTAACAGCTGCACAGTAGTAGCATATTAACAGGTTTCTATAGAAGATGCATTACATTAACAGTAGTACAGTGGCAGCAGTAGAGTAATGGCAGTACAGTTAAAGAAGTAACATTGGCAGTATAAGTGTCACTAACAACCATAAGATGTGCAATGTGGTTTAACACACATTTGAATTTTATCAGGAGTAACATTATATAATAGCAATATTTATTTATTTTTTATTTATAGCAGTAATGTTGCTATCAAAACCTTCAATGTTCTGCCAGACTTGATAAAGTTCTTCTCCAGTACATTATCAAGAGCAGGATCAAGCTCCTCCCCAATATCCTCAATGAGCAGTGGCCGGCCAAGTGACAGACTGTCCTCCAGATGGCTCCGGAAGTACTTGTGATTTAAGGAAGTAACCTGTGAGTAAGGAAAGAAAACTAAATAAAACAAACCTATTTTGTGTTGAATACAGAACTCAGTATTTATTTTATTCACTTCCACAGTCATCAATTAAATATTTGTGTAAATTCAATTGCACATGAAACATAATAAGAATATGTATATGTTTTGATTTGCAAAAAAAAAAAAACATGCAACATATAATAAAATATATAATAGTTGTATAGTATATCAAATGGTATTTAAATTATTATGAACTAAGAGTAGAAAATGTAGATACTGTTGACCTGTAATTCAAACTGTTGCTCCCTGTTCTTGATCCATGTTTTCCCTTGACCTTGTGGATCGATAAGAAGTGGATAGCGTGTTGCCTTGGTAACAATGATTCCATTTTGAACAGATAGTTCATCATTTGGTAATCCTTGAAGATTCCATTCTCCAATCTGCAAATTGGACAGAAAACATTAATTCAATTTTGCCTATCATCACCACCACCATCACCATCACCGCTACCACTACCAACATTGTCATAAACATCATAAACTTTACAACTATCATCATAACAAACACCAATATCATGTATATTATGAAGACCATCAACATCAACTTCATCAAGCATCTATATCTTCAGCAATCACCATCACACCACCATCAACATAATTTATGCATTATTGTTTCACTAACATAAACACCATTATCTTCAGCAGCAACCATATCCATTTTCTTCAAATAAGTCTATTTATCAGCAATCGTCAACTCACCGTGGGTCCATCCACTAACATAGATGATATGTTAAGATTTGTTGTGAAAGGAATTTTGTTGGTGCGGAGTTCTTTTTGCCAGTTGTCGTTGAGATTGATTCTGAATACTTGATTGAATGGACCAGAATAAGATAAGAAACCAGTTGCTAGAAGTACATCACCCACCAATCTACAAGAATATTGCATATTATACTGTGTCACTGAAACTTGCAAAATGAGGAATGAATAAGCTGAAATAGTATTGAGTATATTTATCACATAGATGTCAGGATAGATGATTCCAGTATGATGATTTTATTATTTAAAACTACCAGTCAGAAATTGATAGCATTTGAAAATAACAGGGGTGGATCCAGAGATGTTTGAAAGGGGGGGGGGGGGGGGGTGATGGACCGATCGAGAGATAACACTATCCTAGTTTGTTTTCTAGACGCCCTAAAATAACCTGTGAGGTGTTTTGGGCGATAAATAATTTCTTTTTATTATTCTACTTTGAATTTCCAAAGGGGAAAGGGGGCCCGGGGGACAATGATCTAATTAAAAATTAAATGTTGACTAAATTATGAACCTCATAATTGTCAACTTCTGGAGTTTTAATGAACCTTTCAATTTGAACAACTGATCAATCACAGCAAAGCCAGGTAAATGTGCTTGTTCCACACACACAGGTTGTCTGACAAACCCGCATTAACATAGGACTACGCTGCCATTTTGTGGTACTGTAGCCACAATATCTAAGTGGTCGGGGCTTGGTCCATACTCATATTCCAGTTGATGACCTTAGTTTAAAAAATCTGGGTGATCAATAACAAATCTCTGAGGATATATTCCAAATCTATTAAGGTGTAGAAGATGACTGAGTGAAAAAGTAAGATGTGGAATCATCATCATACTTAGTGACAAATAATACAGAATCTGAAACAATGTGAAAACCAACCTATTAATCTGAGATTTGAATTCTTTGCTTTGTTCTGTCCATCTAACTTTCTCTCCACCAAGACCATTAATGAGAGCAGAGGCTGCAACCATCTTACGACGACAACTCTCAGCATCATCAAGGAGATCCTGCCAACAAATTATTACGACAAGTGTATTGAATTTATTTTTGCCAAAAAATGAAGCTTTTAAACCGTGATAAATATTATATCTATATACAGTAAGACGGGGTGTTTGTAAATTGAAAAATTTGTACACTAGATCGGGTGTCAGTTTCCTATACGTAGGCCTAGTTATCCCCTGCCATTGAGCGACGATAGGCTGACGGCGGCAAGGCCTAGCACAAACCGACAGTGCGTGGTCTACCGCGCTAGAACCTAGCTGAATTTATCTTGGATAAAAACTAAATTATTTTAATCGCTGGCATTCTTCCACTTAACAAAATATTATTTTAACTCTTATTCAAACATCTGAATGTCTTATGGACCTTTCTATCATGTTCTTTCCAGTTGTTAGATCACTGAATTGTGTTGTTGACATGCATTTCACGATCATATCTAGCATGCACGATGTCAATAATTTGCTGACCCCAACGCTCTCTTTAGTTATCGTAAACATGTGCGCTCAATCCAATGACACGTGTTGGTAGTTCGTTGTTCTGGTTAGGTTTATAACAATAATGTAGTGTTTATTATACCAGAAATGGAAGAAGAGATCGAACTATTAATAAATAAATACAACAAACTTGATTTTATTAAGAAAAATATACATAATCACTTTGTAAAATGTCCACAATCAGACGTTTTTACGGTAATAATTGGTCGATGATGACATCATCAGGGGCGAGGACCATTCGTAAAATTGACTATTTGTAAAATCGACGTTCGTAAAATGGATGTTTTACTGTACTGTGCATTTGATTTGATTTAGTATATTTTGATACCATATAAGGCTTGCCATCCCAAACCCATCATCAGTGACCAAAAAATGAAAATTTACTTTTTAACATACATTAATAGTAATATTCTCCACAATATAAGCTTTAAAATGATGGGTCATTTAATGGAATCTAATAATATTGCCAAAGTTAAAAGTAAAATTATTTCAGCTTCTCTGTACTAAAGTATACAATACTGGCACATTCTTGTGCTATTTACTCAGTTTAATAATTAGCAACAGTATGCTAGTTTTGGGATGGCATGCCTCATACAGTATAAGCATACGTTACAAAAAATTTCAGAAAACATTTTAAATTCATCTGAAATGTAATTTCTTTCTAATGATTAGTTTGAATTTTTATTCTTTGATTTCACTTCTTCCAACTACAAATAAGAAATTCATAAACTGATATTAATCTGATATTTATACCTGTTTCAATTTCATAGCACCATCAAATTTTGCCTGCACAAGATCCAATTCTTTCTGTTTTTCATCCAGTGTAGCTTGTGCTGCATCCAGCTCTTTGGTTGCAATGATTAGTCTTCCTTCTTGGACTGCAAGACTCGCCTACATAAATATAACAGTAATAGCAACGATAGAGTAATAATCAACAAATATAAAAAAAAATATTATTAATAATAAGAACAACAAAAATAAAAAAAATACCAACATCAGTAACGAGAGATGTAGTTTAGTGATGTGTTTCAATCTCAGGTTTATGGGTTCAATTTCTGTCAAGGATTTTTTCTCACAACCCAAAGCAACTTCACTTAAATGAGATTTTTAATATAGAGCACCTTTTGTGTATGTTTGCCTTGAAAAAAGATTATGTTTGATATTAGTATATCTTCGGCACTTAATAAAGATAAAAGCAAATAACAGCACCAACAATAGCATATATTTATTCAATCTAAGCACAAATTTAAGGATGTTTATTTTGTTTGAAATCATGCTTACCTTTAGAGGAAGAACTTCTTTATTGATAGTAAAGAAAAATGCCATAGCCTGTGTCCAAGAACAGACACCAGCAACATCTCCACATACTTTCTTGGCAGACTCTAAGCTGTAGTCTTCCATGTCAAGATATGGCATCAACAACTCTACTGTTTCTTCATTGATTGTGTCTTTGGGAAAGGTTTGTAAAGATGACAAGAATCCAGAACCACTCATAAGCTAGGATAAGGTATATTAAAAACATATGTTAGCATTCAAAAACAAAGACTGTAGACATAAAGAGCCAAGTGCTTAAATGAGTAGAATATCACTATATGACAGTATTGTTTTCACCTACTTTAAGAGATTCTCCCCATGAAGGTTTAGGACAAGGTCTATCAGGATCCAGGCTACAAACATCTAGTTTCTTCTGGAACAACAGTAACACACAGTCCATGATACGCATGATAAGGTGAGGAGGCTTGCCAAGTTTACGGACAGTGGAGATGTGAGATGGTTTAATTGTGTTTAGGGCAGCTTCAGCTTCTTCAAGGGCTGGTCTTGCTGCTTCTAACTTAGTTTCTGCTACAGACTTATCTGCTTCAATCTCATCAACAATGTGTTGCGCTTTATCTTTCACTTTCTGTACTGCATTCTTCACCTTCTCTGCTGCTTGAGCAGACACGGTCACCTCAGCTAGTACCTATTGAACCAATTACAGCAATCAAGGTTAATATACAGTAGTGTACCTGATATCAAAAGTAGAGCTAAGCCATGTCATCAAAGCACAACATGCATGGGAAGTAATCATTAAACACACTTAACTTTTAATTCCTGGGAGAGTATATATATTTCTGAGTTTAATAACACAGATTCTTTAAATTCATTTGCCTAGGAGTGGAGTATTTTTGGTGTGAATTGCACCAAGGGTAACCCAATAAGTCTAAAGACTTGTTTTCAGTGGGTCCTTCCGATGGTGAATTGGACAGTACAGTGGGAGGCAATCTCCTACTCTTATTTGGAGAGTGTACTGCATTCTTTAACATGCATATGGGCCATAATGCACAATTTGTTGGTTCTACTACAAACCTGTTCAGCTTTAACTGATGCTACAGCCAGCTCTTTCTCTTTGTCCACAAGTTCTAGTGAAAGCTCAGCTACAGATTCACTAGCTTCTATTAGCTTGTTCAAACCTGTGTTCATACGGTCAGCCAATTCTGAGATCAAGGCATACTTCTCTTGATAGATTGTCTTGTACCCTTCCAGGAAAGATAAGTAAGACTTGGGTGTCACATGAGTCTGGCGCCGATATCTTAAACATAAATTAAATTGTTTAAATGGTAAATACTGTACTGTACAATTAGTATAAACCGCATTAAATTCAAGTGGTAATACTTGACTATAATAACAAAACAATTTTAACACAGATATTAACCCTTGATAATAACCACTTTAATATTCATGATAATCACTCATCAAATTGAATTTGGTGTTTAATTTCAATAAGCATAAAAAATGAATGCACGCCTAAAATCAACGACAATGTCAGCTCATGAGAAATAATATGTAAGACATGAAGCATACCTCTGGAAATACTCTATACAGACTTCTGCAACACCATCATGAAAAACACCCATGGTGTTAACTACTGATTGTTTGGTCTCTGGAGTGCAAACGATATTGAAGCTAGATAAGAAGTGTTGCGCCACAGCAATAAGAGCATCTTTAGGCCAACGAGTAAACCAATCCATTGTGCATCCAGATATAAGGCCAGGAAATTTGAGGGACCGGTTGCGGAACTTCTCTCCTACCTTTATTTTGATAGAGTGAGTGCAATAAAAAAAAAAATGAGTGCATTAACAAAAAAACATTTCTAGTTCCATGGTTATTATATTTATTACTGTGTTCTGATGAGAGTTTGCAGGAAGCATTAATGCACAGTACACTTAGGAGAGTCACCATTAAGAAATATCATAGTGACTAACTAAAAAGATAACATGATCTGAGATGTTTATAGTAAAAAGGTAGGATATACTTGGGAAACGGCTTACCGGTGAGAAGCACAAGACTACATGGAGATTGTTTCTGGCTCTTGATATGAAGTAATCATACAAGTTATCTTGCGTTGGGGGGTGTCTGGGGAATTCTTTCTTCATCACTGGTATCAGTTCTTGTGTTATTTCATCTAATTCATCACGTGCAAACAAATTAGACACCTACAACATACGAATAGACAATTAAAAGATAATAGTTTATTAATACAGTAGTGATAAAATACACATACATAAAAAACCCTTCACAATGTGATGTACTAATAACATGTAATCTGATTTGCCTTTCCCAATTATGTGTGTTAAAATTACTGTGAGGTTTTTCTTTTGGCATTTGTGTGTGTGTGGTGTTGAGTGTGTTTCTTTATTCAATTTACTTACATTACATGATGTTGTTGGCATTGGTCATTGATCTTTACTTGGCCTAATATTTTTTTTTCTTACTTTGGACACCTTGATTTACAAGCTCTTCTGAGCTTTTTTTTTTCGGGTGTTCTTTTCATCATTATTTCATCATGTTCTTTTCATCATTGTATACTTTTAATTTCAATGAATATATAATATAAAGAAATGATTTTTTTAATCTCTAATTGTACATATATATTTATATAATCAATAAGTAAGAACAATTTTCATGTATATAGATTTATAATAATTAATTAATGTATATAGATTGAATTGAAAGGCCTAAAGTTTGGTGTTTATTATATGTGGTGTTTAATTTTTGTATATATATTTATATTTATTCCTATTGTAAACTCAAAAGTATTTCAACTTTTGTTGCATTTTGAGTACTTTATACCAAATAAATAAATAAAAAAAAAATTAATGCTTTTTGTCTTTTTATTGATGATGAATAAATGAATAAATGAAATAAATAATGTAACTGTTTACAATCATGAACAGATTTAAGCCAAGTTAACTCCTGTGGAACTTATGCCACTTAAAATAATGGAATCGTCCATCAAACTCTATAATTGTACAGTAGTTCCAAAATATCTCCTCACCATCCTCCTTCCCATTTCCCAGCTAAGTATTGATAAATACACTTACCTCTCCAGAGCTGAGAACATTGTTGATGTATTCCAAGAAAGCATCATCTTTTACTTCATTATCTGTAAAGATGAATGTGATACCCTTGCCCTCACCGCCAGCAACACGGTACATATACTTCAGATCATCCATCAGATTCGTCACATTGTATGATCTTAAGACGAAAGGACAATAAAAAAATGTGTTAGTTTAATGGGATGTGAGAGAATGAAAGATGATGAGGAAGAGAAGAATAGATGATGAGTTGTAGGAGGGTGAAGAGGTTATGTTACATGTTGCTCTTCAAACATATTTTTCCAATCTTTTGTTGTACTGTTGTGAGTGCAATAAAGGATACACATGCAAGAAAAGGTAACATTATGAAAAGAGAATTTTTGAAAGGGTAGAGAGGGGCAATGAACCAATGTAGACAAAAGTTAAGAAAAAGAAACTGGAATACAATTTTTTGGTCTGGTTAATACAATAATAGATGTGTAGATCATATATTCTAAAATGAAACACAATCATGGGAAAATCATAGGAGATACAGATTATACTATGAAATAACACCAGTCCCACCTTACATTTAAAACAACCAAAACAATACAATATGCTACTATACATGGCAAATGAAGCCCATAATGAAGCCAGGCTATTAATATTTTTTTTAAGTCAGTAGTTTGAGCTAACCAATACAGTGTTGTAGAATATAAATACATGAATATATAAATGTATGGCCATGGAGGAGTAATTTCGACATGGTATGATTTGCTAGTAATTTCTTCTTGCAGTTAGCCAATTTAAACTAAATTACAAAAGGAAAGTGACAATGTAGAAATGTGTGCAGATAGATACAACATGCAGTTAGTTACAGATTTAATTTATTTTATAATGTATCGGCACAAAGAAGCTGTATGTATTAGAGATGATTAATTCTATAGAGTGCTACAGTGTTACGTCACGATACCACGTGATACTACTCCGTTGCTATCGGCGACACAAAATACGTTCAACCGGACGGCATTTTCGATTAAAAGGTTTCGAAAGAGGTCCTGGGGGTAAAGCCCCGAAAATTTTGACAATTTAGGGGTTTCAAAGGCTTATTTAATCGATTTTATAGTCTACTAATATGTAGAAAATACATATATCTTTTTTCCTCCCTGACGAATTGTGCTTTTTCTCCCTGGCACCCCCGCTGGCACCACCCCTGCAAAAGGTGCCACCTGGTGCTGTGATGACACAACTGTTGTACTCTATTTTGCACACAGAAGAGATAGTAATGTTTTACAGAGTGATTTGAAAGTTGCAATGAGATGAACATCATGTGAAAATGTGCAGACTACTAGTGCAATTGAAACTTACTGTCTTATTTTCCCAACTGCTTAAATAAAATATCAAAAATAGTGTTAATTTACATAATATATAATTGCATTTAAATTTTAAAGCTTTATTAAAAATACAGCATAAACCAATCCAATCTCCTCAGAGCTATATTTCTTAAAGAGTTAATTAAATACATTAAAAAAAAATTGATTACAAAAACATGGTTACTAATAAAAAGCAATTTAAGAATTCAAACACACAATTTTTTCTAGGTTTTCTTTTTAATAAGCAAATTGATCATACCTTGTAAGAGTAATTTGGAAGCTCTTGTACCCAGCAATGAATGATGCTAATCTAGTCAAGCTTTGCTTACCAGATCCGCCAACACCTACTAGCAGAGCATTACCACGGGGTGTCCGAATGATGCGGGATATCTGGTTGCAAATAAATTCATAAACCAATATTTTAATATAACTCAAAATATAAACAGTATGCAGCAATAACTGAGCAGATGATGCATTAGCAAAATAATTATTCTGGATTGATTGTCATTAACAATCAAATGATAATAATAATAATAATAATAATAATAATAATAATAATAATATAAGTGTGATTTGTATAGCACATAATACAGGTCTCTATGCACTTGAGTGAAAATAAAGTAAAGAATTAAAAATAAATTAAAAAGATGAGTCTTAAGCTGATTCTTAAATATATTAAGAGAAGGAGACTCACAGACAAAAATATAGGCAAACCACTCCAACCAAGGAAGCAGCAAACGAAACTGCTCTTTTCCCATATGTTTTTGTACGACATAGAGGGGGAAAACCAAGTGGATGAACCGGAAGTGGATCTGCGAGCTCTCAAACAAATGGTGGATTCAAGTTTAATCAGGTTGAATATGCATATAAAGAACACATTAAATTGAGTACGTGGAAGTTAAAATCAGAAAATGCAAGCTTACCTTGACCAGATGGGTCATGGCATCCTTAAAGAACACAAGGTCCATGTGACCGCCTCTGACTGTGTCATTATACTGAGCCATAAATAATTGTAGCTTCTCTGAGAGGAAGTCTAAATCTGGAACCTGACAAAAAGCAACAGTATATCAATGTATACAGTAGCTTGATAGATTGTTTCTCAATCCTAATAAATGCTCAGTTCTTACAATTAGTCTGAAGAAATTCCCTTTTATATTTAATTATAGTTTGAATGGTATGAAGGAAGGGAGGACGTGCATTTGGGTGTCTTGATTGACTCTTAAACTTAATTTTAATGTTGATACTATTGTCTGTAAAGGAAAAAAAATGCTGGGTATATTTTGGCATAACTGCAAACCCCTGGACCATAAAACTAAACTCCATTTTTATGTTTCGTTGGTTAGACCTATTTCAGTATCACAGTCCCATCGTATTGATAAGGTTCAATCCAAGTTTATGTATTTCATTAATCATAGTTATTATAATGATAGTAATCTATGATAGTAAATTCTGTTTTTGATACTAATTTAGGCCTATGTTCTTTATTTTCTCTTAAAATTAATAGAATAAATTCTCGCTCAAAAGATATATTTAGGGTTCTGTTTAACAGAGTTAATTGTACAAAAAATGGTTTCATTTATCGTTTAGCCTTTATAATACAATGTTACATGAAGATCCTACTATCGATATATATTCCATCAAAATTTAAGTTCATTTAAAACCAGTTTTATATACATGTGCATGCATTTACATAATTGATCTGATTGGGTTTGGCCTGGGGATGAGTGTGTGGGGGTTTGTGTGTGTGTGTCACTTGTGACCCTGTTTCTTTTTTGTGTGTTTTTCTATTTATATCTTTGTTATATTTATATGCTTGTAAATATTTTAAGACATCCTATTATTGGCAAGTGATTGCTGTTGGATGTGGTTTTTGAAATAAAGAATAAATAAAGAATAAAGAATAAAGGTCTCAAACTCTTAATAGGATATGCCTTAGACTAACTGTATCCAGTTATTTTCATTCTGTAAGTGGCAATTTATGAGATATTTGATGCTACATACCAGTTCGTATATTTTTGGGGCATCAAGATCAGCATCATCTGGTTCCTCTCCAGTTGGTTCTGGAGCATCTCTGAGGAAGTCTACCAAGTAAGGTTCATCCATCAACTGATTACCCATGTCCTCACCAAGCTGTTCCTTTGTTATTCTAGCAAGAGCATTCAAGAACCAGTTCTTGTCTTCAAAGTTAGTGAAGCGATCAGCAATCACTCTAGAACATTCATGCTTCCATAATGCTAGCAATGTTTTGGAGTCTTGGCATTCATCACCTTCTATGTGCAGCATCCCTTCCCAGATACGGGATAAATCACGCAAGTTGAATATGTAGTGGAATTTGGCTGGAGTCGGAAGCATTTTCACCTTTGATCAAAGTTTAGAAAATAAATTTTAGATTAATTAACTTTCTAACAGCTGAAAAATATAAACCTATTTGTGCTTTATGATCATAAACTGTTGTCTCTCCATATCTACTTGCTGTACCTTAAATTAAATATGAAACATGGGTTGTTATTCAAATATCTTAATAAATAGTTTGTAATATATTATAATAATCCAGTTGTTAATACAGCGTATCTTCATTATACCTTGGTAGCTTGCCATAGAACCCTTGTAGTAGCAACAAGACTTTTGGCTAATGCAACAACTTCATCATTGAAGCGTGATGAACAGAAGTAACCACAACCAATTATTCCTGCAAAGATTGGTTAGTCATCAATCAATAAATAAGCTACAAATTCTGTAATAATGCTGAGTTAAGCAAAAATTGTGATTAAATTCAACAGAAAACAATTTATATTGATCAATTCTCCCTACCAAATATTTTGTCAATAGATGCATTTGAGGGCAGAGTGCAGTTGAATACTGAGAAACAGCGTTTAAGTCTTTCTGGGATATCATTTCTGCCACCACCTGGTTGGATCATGGCTGCTATGAACTGGATATCTGCAATATGAGTAAAATCACCAGGTTTCTCCAGGTTATAGAACCCATCCATCTCCATCATCTGTCTGACGATCTCATTGGTCACCTGATCTCCCCATTCATTGATGATTGGCATGTTGATGTCATCTACAAAGACGGTCATCTTACGTCCAGCTGGCGGACCGTAAGTGCTACCCATACGCTTGTCAACATAACTCTCAATTGTTCTCTGTAACATCAATTATTTTTACTATCTTTAAGACATCATACAAGGAGGTCAGTGTTTATGCAAAGTTTACATTTCAAACATCAGCATTCTTTATTAGTATGAATGGAAGCAACTTGAGATGATCCCACATATTTTTAGTACAGTGTAAACGGGAATAGTCTTTAGCATCACAAAAATGCTTCTTCTGGCATGGCAGTGTTTAATTCATGTAATTATTGTTTATTTTTATAGTACAAATGCAGCAATACATGTCGTGGTTTAGACTTTTTACATTTAATTTTTTCCAACTTGGCAATGATAATCAAATAATAAGAAAACCTCACCTGAAACATAAGAGGTGTAGTTGCTGATGAGAAGTTGAAGCTCTTGCCCATGTGTCTGTCAGGATCATACTTGCTCATGTAGCCTTTGATCATGACTGTCTTTGCTGTCCCTTGTTCACCAATCAACAATACAGCCTATTTGCAGAAGTATACAATAAAGTTTTATTTCATGTTATATCCCTCTGATGGTGAGTCTTGTATGCGATTTAATTTTTAAATAAGGTACTGAAAATTTTAAATGTTCAAACTGACCTTTGCTATCCACAACATATTCAAATATAGTGTGGCCACTGTCTTCTGGCAAATGGGGGTAATTCAGATTGCTTTCATGAGCTAGCATAAAATTCTGCATCTTTTCTCGGTCATCAAGTTCAAGCAAAGCTCCAAGACTCCACATCAATGAAAAGATGAAGAGTTTCTCCAGGTAGGGAGCTGGCAGGGCGCTGTGATCATGCTCCTCTTTTACAGGTAGTAACCCAACCAGTAGATCAATTGCCTACAAGATTAGGTTATGTCAAAATCACTTAATATAGTCCTCATACTTTCTAATAAGTACTGAGGCAATAGTTAATTTATCTTTAGATATATCATTAGTGACACATTCTTTTATATTTTTTTGTGGCTAGTGATATAAAGGATACTCTGTGGCCTATGCACTAAACCATCAAGTTTATGAATATTATATATTACTGTATTTTCTTTAGAATCAACTATTAACAATAAATTTTGTCTAACAATACTGTACAAGTAAATTTCATGATGTACAGTTTTATAAATCATAACTTGTATCTGATAGACATTTGGATGCTTTCTACTGTATTTAAAATGCCTAAAGCTAGGTTTACACTAGACATGATAATGACACGACGGCATATAATTGTGTAGTTTGTATTCTTCAACACTGTGCGCATCTGCATTGTGTCGTTGTCGTGTCATAATTGTGCCTAGTGTAAATGTAGCTTAAGTTGGCACTGCTACATAAAAAATGAAAATATAAATAAATCACCCTTACTTGTTTAATGTAGTTACATTGTAATAGAACCATCTTAGGGTTCAAGTTCAGTAAGACATAGTTAAACAAATCATCAAAGATCTTGTCAAACAGATCTTGGAGCACTGCTGCTTCAGATGGGTTCTGTTTTATCAACCAGCTCTGGTGATTAAAAAAAGAGCATGTTAACACCCGTCAAAATGCTTATATCTCATCACTGACATATATTTATCTATTCATTTATTCAACTTTCATTCTGGATGGTACGCTCAATGCAAAGGCACTGGTTTTCATTGTGGTCCAGATACAATTTACATAAAAAATAAAAAAGGTATAAATTGATAAAGAAATTGTTGATAGTTGTGAGATGCTAACCTGTGATATGGGTCTCCAATCCAAGACAGATGAGCTCATGTAAACCATTCCATTCCTGGAGACCGTAGCTGGAGAAGCATTGTCAATGTTGTGCACCTCAAACACTACCTTACAATTGGGAGCCATGGGAATACGATCACCATTAGCCAGGGTCAGAGTTTTGTTATCATCTAATACACTGTTTAAATTCTCAATCCAAATTGCATCTACTGGGCCATCTAAGACAATCCAAATATGATCCGCTGTGAGAAATAAAATTCAATTAAAAATGAGAAAAAACTATTAACAATTTGGAAATTTCCATCCAATTGAAATTAAAAATTATTCATAAAATTTCTAGAAACTCTAAATATCAAGAAAATGATTTAACAATTCATACAGAAAAAAAAAAAGATTATAGAATTCTGATCTATTTATGTTTCATTCATTCAATATGCAGCATCACTTTACATTTTTTAGCTTTCAAGGTCTTTCTCCATAGTGTAGAAAAGATGCCATCAGTCCAATCATTGGTTGCCACATCTAATCTACCAAACATCTGAGGTGCAGTAATAGCCTTTGGATTCATACGCATCTCCTTGTGCAGGGCTCCACAATCTCCCATAGCCTTCATCAAGATGTTGATACAGCATGTCTTGCCGGCCCCTGATGGGCCTAGTGCCATCATACCATGACGTACACGTTGGGTCTCAAACAACTGAATAGTAATAATTATAATTTTTTTTTTAGCGTCAGACAAGAGTTAATTACTGTATTAATGTTCATTTACTAATAAATGACACACAATGCTGGTTACCTGAACAACTTTTAGATTCCAAGCAGGGTGGTTGACTAAGCCTGCAGCATCTACTTGGCCTGCAACAGCTGCTTGTAGTTCTTCATACGTAGCATTATCCAATTGGATTCCAGGAAATAAATCACTGATGAGACTCAAGAATAGTGGTTCATCTTCATCAACCTATGTCAAAGGTTATAAATATTCATTAATTTGTAATAAACATTATTCACAAAATATTATTTTTTAACTACATTTTTTCGGGTATGGAATTGAAGTGAATACAATAACAAACATACTAAGATTTTTACAGCACTACATCCAAAATAAAAACAATAAAGCAAAAAATGTCTAAATATACATTGTTCTATTGTATAAAAAGAAATAAGCCTAATAAGCCAATCTACAATCTGCTAAATTAATAATGTTTCTGTAATTGGTTACCAATTTCGAGAGATTCATGTCTCGAAGCACTCTCATCACAATAGTTGCTTCACTCTCAGATGGTCTAGCTCGCTTCTGAGCTCCTAATGTTCTCAGCACAGACAGTATGTTACGTAACCCAAAATCATAATGAACCTGAAAGATAAAATACAACATTAATAACCAAAAATGCATTAAGATATGAATGCCATTTCAACATTAGCTGATAAACCACTTCAACATTTTAAAGTAATAAATAAATATCTTTTAATTTATTTACACTAAATGACAGTATTTGGCAGAGCCAAGCCAAAGGAGGAATAAGTCGAAATTTAAAAAATTGAGTTTTGTACATATTATGAAACTAGACATTAACATCTTCAAAATGCAAAAAAAATCACTTTGATATGACAGTTTATGGCGAAGTTATGGGTTAGGATACATGGTAAGTGTATTTTGAGAAAACTGGCTTTGAAAATCGCTTATCAGTTTACTGTGATCGCATTTTTTGAAGGTGCCTGTACATCTCTCCATAGCAACGGGTATTTATTCTACACAGAATTGGTTAAAAACTTGGCACAACTGTTTATTTATTATATTAATGTATTTGTTCCAAATTTGGATCCATTTTTTTTTGGATAAATTGAATAAAACTAACATTGACTTAAGACAAGCATCTGTAGTCAAGATAAAGTTCTATTAATGTTTTTTCATCAAATTGAGACGAGCATGTACTATTGCAATTAGGCCTACATGCAAAATTTCTCACAGCATCTAATTGTTTAGTTAAGAATTGGTAGTCATTATCTTTGTTGCCACCATCGGCAACAAAATTCTCATCTTCTGAAGATAGATGTAAATGCAAGTCTTCATCGATGGGCCTAGGCATAGGCCCTTGGTTCGTACAACCACCGTTAGGAAGAGTACAGGAGGAGCAGTAGCAGTGCCGCAGGCGCTATCATGTTATAAATATTGAAACATACCTGTTTGGTCAGTTGTTCTTCACATAGCTTGTACAGGGTGAAAAATTTCTGGGCTAGCAAAACATTCTCTTGGAAACCACAACTGGCCAGCTTGACTCTCATAATGATTTGACGATCAGGAACCATCATGGCAACAGTACGAAACTGAATCTTTAGGTTCTCGGGTAATTCTTGACGACCAGCATATCCAGGGTTCTTGATGAGGAAAAAAATGTCATTACTGAGGCAGTATAATACTAATTAAAATTTGGGTAGCATTATTTTAATCTGAACGGAATACACAATAAAATGTGCTTTTATTACATGGTTATCACAGCAAACATTCAATACAATTCAGTTTTGTTCACTGCTGCAAATGCCATCAGGGGCCAATCTGCAAAAATTACATTGCACGTGCACACATTGCCATTAAAATGTTGTTCTAAAACATAATACTACTTTTGCGGTTGTTGCTTCTGGTAAATGCAGTAGATGACTTTCATCATTCTTACTGTTTGTGAGTGTTCTCATCTTCCTGTTTTAGCATCAATTTTTGATTTAATGCTTTGGTGCCAGTTTCTTGGTCAGATGGAACACAGCACCCCCACTCCCCAAAATAATAACAGTGCTCTCACCCTTCTGCACAACAGCATCCTTACCTACACAATAATCCTTATTTGCAGAAGTTGACTATCAATTAATATTATCTGGTCTGTTTGGTTGGGTGCTGGCTTTGAGTTCTTCATTCCTTGTTTTTCCGATTACAATTTGTCCACTTGTTTTGGCGGTATAAATGCATAAACTTTAACCTTAAACTAGGAAAGTAATCATGAAATGGAAATATGAACTCACCATTGTTAAAAAGATACCAAATTCTGGATTAAGTGACACAACATCACCATCAGTGAATATGAATTCTGTTTTGCGATCCTTCTTTGCACCAAGTACAATAGCAATCTGCTGAGCAGCCACAGAAAGCACAGGTAGCTCAATCCTGTTGAATTCATCAAAACATCCCCAACTACCAGACTGGGCAAGGCCTTACCAAACAATCATAAAGAAATGAAGGATAAGTTTACTAGTTTATTATTCATAAATTCAAGCTAGATTTATCATTGAAATATTTATTCTTTGAATGTAGAAAAAAAAAAGCAAAATTAATTTCACTTGCCTACGGGGAATCTGTATGTTACTTTGCACAAACTAAACACCGACACCAACTTTAGCAAAGATATATAACTCAAACATTAATATTATTTGGTAAATGTTCTCTATAGGTCAATTTAAGCAATCTATATAAACACAGCAGATATGTTTTCACCTTTGCATCTACTACAAGAAACAATAAAGTAATAACTTACATGACCCAATTTTTTTCCAGTACCGACAATGATTGGTCCATGTGGTTTCAAAAATATCATCACATCAATAAGGAAAACATTTCTTTAAAGACAATTTTATATATTTACCTTTATAGATTCTTCCTAAGCCCCTATAATCCATCTGATCAGAGCAGTTAAAGACAACTACATATTTGCCCAAGGCTTTACCCATGTCTTTAGTAGTTTCTGTCTTGCCTGTACCAGCTGGTCCCGCTGGGGCACCTCCCATGCTCATACCAAGGGCCTGAGCTAATGTGATGTAACATCTGAACAAGAGACATTTATAATGTAAAAAAGGCAAAACAAATTAGAACATATCAACTAACAATAACAGCAACAACTGAACTGTTTTAAATCGGCCATGTGAACTATCTATTTAAAAGAATGTAGTAAATAATTATGAGTACCAAAGAATTCAAAAGAAGGCTGCTCATGACACCATGATAAAATCCTTGAAGGACATCAAATGACAGTCACAAGTGAAAACATAGTGCAAACTCATTTACAGTATCATAGAGGATGATCAATTGATGGATTGACTGAATGATTGAATATTTTAAGTAGAAACATGCAAGAAATTTGCTTCATCATGAACTCACACAAGACTTAAGATAAGCTTACCTGTCTGTTAGTGGAGTAATAACCAGTCTGTCTGTACACCCTAAGAATTCATTTTGATAGATGAAGTCAACATCTGTAATTGATACAATACACTGATCTGTGTCCTCTTTGAAATAAAATCGTGCCTGCTTTAACCACTCAAAATCCAATGGATTGCGTATGTGCATATTTACCTATTTATATAGTATCAAAAACAAAGGAGTTAATTCCATAACTTAATTTTTAAAAATGTGACAAATTTCAATGAATTATTCAACAAAAGAATTCCTTGAAGTTGAAGAAGAGCATATGTTTCTGTTTGGGAAAAAGGTTTAGTAGCTGAGAGGATTTTTCTGTTTGGGGAGTGTATCTATTAGACCTCTTAGTGTTTTATCTAAATATTCTCATTTTACTTCAAGTCTGTAAATGTCAGTGATGTCTAGCTTTGTTAAATAGCAGTAAATTTATATTTTCAAAAATATTACAATATCAACTTACAAGATCGTTGAATATGTCTCTCTGATGTACATGTATTGTAACCAACGTCTCGTATTTGATCCTCTCAACTTTGGTCAATTCATGGGTAGTCTGCTCAATGAGTGTATTGAGAAGTTCAAGGAATTTGATATTGGTAGCTTGCATAACCTTACGGTCAGACCGAGCCAAGGTTAACGCTTCCTCAGCATCACGGGTCCATAGCATTTGAATCCCCAGCAGACCAACCTATTATACAAACACTATCTTATTCAATATATTGACTTGATTTTTATGCCCATTGTTTATGTTCCATGGAATAAAACTGACATAATGACAACATATTGTTAAAGATGTATTGTTCCATGCTAAATACCAAAAGATCATAAAAATATTTTTTGAAATTAACTTGAAAGTAACATAAAAGTTATCAACTTGAACATAGTAATTAGTGTATTTTAAAAATGTCTACCCATCCTAATAATTTTTATGCACAAGTTAATAATTTGTATGGTATTGCAATATGAACAAGTTTATTTCAAAATTATTTATGATTTTTTGACATTAGCAAGGGACAATACATCTTTAAATATTGTTTGATAACAAAATTGAGAATGTTTTCATAAGAGCATAATAAAAACTAATGAACACACACAATTGCACATACAACAATTATATAGATTTTAAATGGTCAATACTTTAATATTTAGTAGGTATGTTTTCTATACAGAAGTAATCTATATATATTTGAATAAACACCCCGGCGTTTTGTTAGTTTAGTCATTTACAAGAAAATTATTTGAGAGAAGCATTTATTCTAAATAAGGCTCTAACGTGGCCTTTATTCAAAGTGGGGCGTTTATTTGAATTAATACGGTATATGAATGTATTATTCAAATATATTAAGTATACAGACTTGAATACAAGATCACAATCGAACCTTTACAGTACTTACTTGTGCAATGTAATTGTTGAGAAAATTAAGCAAGTCAAAGGATGGGTCATTGACTACTCGGTACCCATCTCTAATGACACCGTGCAATGATGACATCTGATTAGCAAGTAGTTCCCCTAGCCAGCTTTCTACATTACCTTTAGCCATTACAACCTTCTCCAACTGAAATCATAATTCAGAAATATGTACTTTTTAATTTCTCGGAAAATAGAGTAAGTGTATTTACCTATTTGTATTCTGTATTTGTAAGGATGGTTGCCACCGCTTTTATGTATCACTATATCACACCCCACATCAGTAACCTTTATACAAGAGCATCATAAATATTATCAATATAATACATGATTTTCTAACAACAATTATACTTCTAGTACTCCATGAACATTAAATATCAGGAATTATTTTGTTCTTTATTGGGGTCCGAAATTATGGTCCAAGCTTTCTGATGACCTAAAAAATATATAAGCACACACTGAACAGTTTTATATACCACCTTAAGAAGATTTTGGTCTCTGTATATGGCAATTAATAATAACATTTTTCTGTACCTTCCTTTCATTACTATTACAAATATAATGTGTCTGGTCATGTATTTTATAAAAACGTATTTAAAACCTGGATAGGAATTATTATACTTTTATTGATGAATAAAAAGTAAATACCAATACTTTTATTGGTATATAATTTCTTTGAATTTACAGTTTTGATAAAACATAAGTTCTAAATGGTACCGGTCATTTGTTCAACTTTTTTGTAAAAGGTTTATTACTTTATTGTATTGAAATAAAGAATATTTGATTTGAAAAAAAAAAATGATTAAACTTTACTCACCGGAATGGTTTCTCCTTCTCTAGATATGACAGAAACAATACGATCATACTCCTTAGGGTGAAACCCAACTTCATTTACATTCTCAAAGATACCAAGTAGATGAGACTATTTGAAAAGAAACAATTAAATGGTTATATGGTTCTTCATACGTTCATAAAAAATTTTGTGCCACTTTAGATAAAGGGTTTATATACAAGATGAAAGATTGTACTTACTTGAATTGTATGGGAGTCAGATGCCTGTCCCAAAATCTCCAATAAAGCAGGATCAGAAACAAAGAAAAACCGAGGAAACACTAGACGTTTCTTCTCCAAATACCTACACAATAAATTAGTTATGATATCAGAATTTTGCTTTTACAAAAGAGATGCAGAATGAAGGACGAATATGAAGATCAACCTGTTACAGACATTGGAATTAAAAATACATGCTAAGAGCAAGGGAAGATAGAAAGATAGAGACCAAGCAATCAAGCGATTTTAATCTTCTAGAAAATAAATTAACAATTACATCTTAAGTAAGCTGTATACCCATTAAAATTAAAATGATCAGTTACTAGGTGATGTATAGTATAAAAATGACTAATAAAGTAAAGTTTGGATCAAGTCAGTTGAATTTCATTATATTATATATTTACATGCCTTCACCTACCGTAGCTTCTTTATGTGACACATTTTAGAACAATTAGGATGTGTGATTTACCCTGTGAGTGATTTTTGACAGATCTCTAACTGTTCAAGCAAATGAGGCAGAAGTTGGCCAAGCGTCTCATCTCCTACACAGCATATAACCACATTATCATTCTCATGGGCTCGCTGCATTATCTTCACCCATGATTTATCAATGTTCGAGAAACGCTTTGCTTCCTAGTGGAACAAAAACATGTTAAGAATTTGAGTATAAGTAGTAAAAATCATTTTTAATGATAGTCATCTATACATTTCATTATATATTGAGAGTCTTGGGTTGTTTATGTTCAGTATATTCTATTTATAAATCATTGTAGAACTCACTTGTGGTAGTTGTTTAGCAATATCTCCACCCACAAACACAGCTTCTAGATACACCCAGAGGTTCTGCACTATTAACCAATTTTCAATGATATCAGAAGAATTTGATAATTTCTGAACCCAAGACTGGATGTCCTTCTTGAAGGGAGCATTGTACCTAAAATACAAAAGCAACTTTATTTATTTATTTTCACTTTATTATTTCAGGTTTACTTTTTCAAGTTCAACAAGGACTTGAAACAGCTGGTTCTGAGGAGGCTACAGTGGAGAAATTGATTAGAATTATGCCTCATTCAGTAATGACTTTGATTTGATATAATTCTAATCATAAATACAATACATCATGATTATTATTACATCATGATGTGCTAATTGACCAATACAAAGGCCTTGTAAATTCGCTGACTATAGATTTAATTAAAATAAAGATTGTGTATGTTTACCTGTTACTTAGTAATGATCCTAAAACCATTAAGCTGTCCTCCATGAGGGCAACTATCTCTGAGGTTTCACCACCTTTTAGGAGCAGCTCACCACGAGTCTTGAATGGAGCAAAGCTCAGCGTTTGAGAACTCCACTCTGCAACCACTTGGGCTAGCTTCGCTTCAATATCTTTCTCTTTAACAGCTGAGATACAAATATCCTGTAATATACATAATAACATACAATAATATTTTGCATGCAATAATCTAACCTTCACCTTTGTATAATTTATACTAGTATATGATACACAACTCGGCTGTTCCGTGGCAAAACAACGTAACTTGAAATTTTGAATTTTGGAGAAAAACAAAGTTGAAATTTGTGTGTTTGTAACTTTGCAATATATTCTCGTAGCCTTTTAAATTTTGCAGCAGTTACAATGTTCTGTCTCGGGACGGCCGAACAATACTAAGTGTTTATTACAGAATCAATAATAATGATATTGTTGAAAATAATGTATTATTTATACATGTAAATGTTGCACAGATTATGCACTTGTCAAATAGGACACAAGAAAAACCGAATTAATCATCTTCGTAAATTGATGCAAATTTAGTGTGTTGGTAGATTAGTACTAACCTCAATATCTTCTTTATTCTCAAGAAGTGGTGCTTCCATGATATTCCTCAATGCAAATGAGTCGTTATCAATCTCAAATACATGTCCTGTAACATTGGTGATGCGTTGCCAGTGGCGATCTTTCATTGCCTTATTTGCCATCAGTTCAAGCAAAGGGCAGGATTCACTGAAGTCATCAATCTTCTTCTTCAAATCCAGGAAAGCTTGCCAATCTTTTAATCCTTTGGGAAGCTTCCGACATCTTATTTAAAAAAAAGGGTATTATATTCAAGATTTGTTTTTTTGTTTTTTTTTTCAAATTACATTATTATTTATTTATTACTTTCATTTACCTATTAAGGTATAGTATACACAATTCACAACAGTAGTGAAACATTTGAAATAGTTCTTAAATTTAACTTGCAGTGATAGTACTACTGTACAGTAAGTCATGCAAGTGTGATTTAATTTATTTTTAGTTATGAAATAACAACAAACTACTCTACCTGTTTTGAAAGTCCATCAGTTCACTATTAATTTTCTCAATATCTACTTCACTCCATAAAATATCATAGTATCCATTGATGCCATCAATGACTGAGTTATATAATCCATACAGCTTGTTCAGTAGGTTAAGTTCCTTCTTGGTCTTAGCAAGGAATGGGTATTCAGTAGTTTGGAGGCCAAACAATTCTTCACCACCGGAGTAGGTTTGATACTTGCGCCAGAGTTCATCAAATCGACTTTGATATACTTGTAGTCGGTCACTGGCCTCTTGAGGAGCAATGCCATCTGCCATTGGTCCATTCTGGCAAAGATTTAATTGATAATCACAAATTCATGTTTTGTACAGCAATTATTCAAGGGTGATTTTGAATTAGGAACTTTATTGTATATAACTTACGAAATTCAATTTCATTATTTGTTAACTACTATAGTTTGTAAACTTACAATTTCATAATCACCCTCAAATGTGTCTACACTATTAACAAACACTTCAACCGATTGTAAAAGGTCTGCCTTAAATGTTGGCTGGATTCTCACAAGCTCTGACTGCACTTTGACCTGTGAACAAACCAATAATACATCATTAAATTTCTAGTACTTAGCATGAAGAAAGCAACACATGCTTGGCTTTCATGCATTGATATCTAAACAAAGCAACACAATGCAAATGGCTTTCAAGCTATACTCTCAATGGTAAGTGTATATGGTAATATGCATTTTTAATAGCATAAAGTAATCATAAAAAAATAAACTAAACAAACTAAAGTTACTTTACCATAGATGTATTTGCCAAACCCCTCAAAAACAATATTATTTTTGAATGATGATTGAACTTACAGCTTGTCGAGCAAGTTTTTGGAAAGAGTAGCGTAATGTGTCAACACGCTCAATCTCTTCTCGTGGTACTGATACTTGGAACTTTTGAAGCAAGTTGTAGGCTTCCTGTAAAGATTCAATATTAATGTATATTTATAATAGAGCCAGTTTCCACTAACTAAATAACACTCATGATGTTTTAACTTTTGAAGCAAGTTGTAGGCTTCTTATAGAGATCAAATTCTTACCAAACATGGTCTTCCATGCTTTTGCCTCAATCAATAATGCCAACTTGATAGGTTCTAGAGTTTAGAAAAATACACTATTAGTGGTAACAGAGATGGTGGTAGTTAAAGTTGGGGTGCTGACAGTGATGATGGCAAAGTGGTATTGTAGCAGATGAAGAGTATAGTATATTACAAATAGTAGCAGTTAGTGCATCTTAACATAGATGATCTGTTTCAATTCTTATCCCGGTTCATAAAAAAAAATACAGAGCATTTGCTTATAAATGATGACTGTACTGAAGGTAAATATCACCATTTTACATGCTTACCTGTTGTTAGTTCAATACATCCAACTCTTAATGTAGGATCAAGTTCCTCAATGCATTGTTCTAGGTCTTGATAGTGCAAAATTTCTGCCTTCCATTCAGACAGAATTGGCTCAGTTTTCAGGAAATTCTACAAATTATATTATGTATTAAAAGTTAATATATTCATCTTCCCTATTTTTAAGCCTTGTCCTTACTAAAAAGAAAAACCTATGTTTCTGATTCATTCAGGCAAAGTCTGTTGATGGTAGTTAAAAACTAAATGTTAGTTAATGTGTCTACAAGTGCATCGTGGCGGTAGGAATAGCTTTCCACTGTGACGAAAATTCTTCTACCATGAAAGTTTGTTGTAAATGATGATTATGGATAATAATAAATATAAATCTCTATGATCATACTTGATGATAATTTTTATGTAAAGATGGTAATCCTCATGACATGAAATTAATGGTTACAACTTTAGAATGACACTGACACTTATAATCAACATGAAAACTGATGATGACGATGATGATAGTACAATATTGGTGATGAATGATTTCCTTAGTCATCTTAGAATGCTTAAATTGTCACAAGAGAAAAATATATAACTATCACATGGGTTGTCATCACAATACAAATACAAATCCACTTAAAATATGGAAATAATCATGAAAAAAGCACAGGTATTAAACTTGATAGCATACATCAACAGATTCTTTTCTGTCTTGTTCCCATAGGAATTGGTAGTTGGTGAACATCTCAATTGATTCCTGTACAAGTGGTCTTGTTTGTGTAATTGCATTACTCAGCATCATCACTAGCTTCAGTATATCCTTATGTTCTGTGATGCTCTTGTAGTAATTCCTTAATGTGTTGGCTGCAATCAGCTTTGGCTCACCATCTAAAAAAAACCCCCAATTTTATTACTATCATCATAAATGACACAATTGGCAGGATGTTCACAAATGCAGAATACAGCAATTTTGCAGCATCATTACTACCTGGTATATTTAGGAAGCGGCAGCTCTCAAATACAACAGCTCTTAATAAAGAAAACACAAATCAGCAGTTCTTAAGGGGTTCTTAAAGGAACATGTGGCAATCAGTTTGCTTTTTAAAGGTACTATTTTGCCTAAACATCACAGCACCTAATTGTGAGTACATCAACTATCACCTAAGGTGCCTAATATTTCACATCAGCCGTACACTATTAAACAACTAATTTGTTTGATATACACATGGTACCATTTTAACACAATAAAATAAGATGGAATTTTTAATTGGCTGTTTGAAACTAACATTGATAAACGTTGTTGTCTAACAACTGTGACTATTCAGCTCACCTGGCAACTGATGATTAGCTCCAGCCCTTCGATGTTGTTTGTCTGTAGACTTTTCTGATATAGCAGAAGCCGGTTTAAATCGCTTCTGACCCCACTGCGCTATATTACGACTAACATCTAGCACATAGTTTGTGACTTTATGTACGGATTGTTGGATATCATCTAGACTTGGCTGCATCACCTGAAATGGGAAAAACATATTCCTGTTAACCAACCAATCAATCAAGTACCGTAAACACTTTTGTATCCATAAGTGGAATAGTATTCACTCACCACATTTGGTATTTCAAGGGCAACTTGGCCTTGAAAAAAGGGATTATTTTTCTTGTGTGACTTGTTGCTAGAACCATATGATCTTGAGCCACCACTAATGGACCTGGAAAATATAATGAATAACAGGTACAATATGACATAATATAATAAAATGACAACAAACGTCCTGAAAAAGTAATTAAAAAAACTGGTGTATTTGCAAAGAATATTTTTCACCTAATAACATTATTAATAAAGCTGTAGAATTTTAATAGTTTCATCTTATAAGGCACACATATCCATCTTGGAAAGCTGCTCACTGAGCAAACTTCATTTACAAAAAGCAGCTTTTTCCTACATCACTTTTGTTATTGAACTCTGTATGTGAATTCTGCAAAGGGAAAATGATGTAAATGAGAAAATGGCAACAACGTACGGTGAAAAGAAGACTCTTTTCTTGATAGCATCTAGTGAGTTTCTTGTTGCCTTCAGGATGGCTTCCAGATTGCGGTGATTGAAGTGGAGTGTGAGCTCTTTACAATCTTCTTGCAGCTGTTGCTCTTCCTCAATACTCTCTGCTACAGCTGATTGAGACTCAGAATCTGATTCAGATCCCTCATTTCCTAGTGGCAAAACGTAACACATTTAATAATAGAAAAAACAAAGCATAGAGTAATCATACAATTACAAGCTTTATTTATTATCATTTTTAGATATGAAGGGAAAGATTTGAGTTTAGAAGAAATTCTGGCATTTGTTGTAAAATTTGAATCCAGGATCCTGGGTTGGACAACAAGTATCTGAACAATCATAAGTTAAAAACTCCTAACATGAAGTACTTTGAGTAAAAACTTAATTACAATAACCAACAATCTGATGATAAACCCACCTTCTTCACTAGCTGGCTCTTCAACTTGTTCTTCTAGTAAACGATTGAAGCAATCACCAAAGCCTGCCTTATGAGCCTTGTCTATAAACACATTGATTAGCTCAGTAACCGAGTCTTCTATTCTCATACTCATCTTGTATAATTCAGCAGCACAGCTTTCACAATGTTTCTATCATCAAATGGTTTAAGCACTGTAAATATCACACTTCTGACTTTCTAAATGACTTGCATAAGAACAGCTGCAGTCACACTGTATGTTAGTATTTAGCAGCAGAATACACAATGATTGAAATGCTGATAAATTATTAGTATCCTATAGATCTATACTTGTGATCTACTCTTTTTATAGTCAATTCCCATTACCTTCAACATATCACAATTATTCCTGAGTTTTTCTTGGGATAGACAAATAACATTGGCAGCAGATGGCACCTCTAACTCAAGTTTATGCATACATTCTGCTTCCCTGATCACTTGTAGCAGCATGGGATCAAAGTTCACTAGAAGCACATTGGTTTCTGGATGTCTGACTAACAAAGATGCTTGTAGGCCTAGTGAAAAATACATTGAAGTATTATTTGAACAATACAACAACAAGCAACTACTGATTATGGTAATGGCAATGTACAAAAACAGAAAGGGAAATATAAATTTACACAGATTGTCAAGTACAGTACCTGTCTTTACAACATCAACCTGTTTCACCCACGCTCTGTGATACAGCAACTCAAACTCCATAAGAACAGATGCCATTCTGTTATAATTGCGGATGATACGTTTAGCTTCAGGACTCTTCATTATGTTAACTTCCACCTAAAAAATGACAAAATTAATTCAAACAGCACACAGATTAATAATAATAATAGTGCTTGTTTCCACCTGGCAGCACCATCCTCAATTTAGATGTAAAGCGTACAACAGAAGAAACTAAACAAAATACACATATTCACTATCTTTATAATGGCCCTGTCACACCTTGACGATTTAGACAGCGTATGCCAAACGTATCAAAATTTCTGTAAAACATTAGCATATGCTGAACTATCGATGCTTTTTTTTTTAACTTTGGGCGCATTCATAGCGAATTCATAACGTATTGGACGTATAAATAACGTATTAGTAAATTATGTAGAACGTTTTGATTACTTATAGAAAACTTGCACGAACAAATGCTCAGCGTGTTGCCGGCATTCACAACTTATGCCCAGCGATAGTCTACCTAATGCACAGCGTGCGGCAGTGTATCGCCGATTATTACGTGACGTAGCCTATAAAAGGGCTGCCGCTCGTGGATTCAAATCATAACCGCACTAGACATCGCAATATCAAAATCACCGTATTGACATCACCACATTTTAATATACTTATTCCCCTAAACGCTGCCAATACGCCATGTATGTGATAACTGTAAGTTTTGTGGTCGTTTAGAACTTGTCAAATACATCAAAATATGTCAATATACGTTGGAGATAAGTTTGTTATAAGTTACATACAAGTTTGAAGCACGTTACTCATAGGTTAGAAATACGTTTTGACTTTTGAGTAACTTACAAGTAATGTGAGTCAACGATCGCTTAAGTTACCTACAACGTATGGCCCGGGTATGCAGAACGCACGAACCATACGCTGGCATACGTCGAAAAGTTTTGGACAGAAGTAGGTGGACAGAATTATTGTATGTAAAATTTTTGGCCAAGCCCATGTGGTGCTGGACACAGGCTCCTGATATCTTTATTCCGAATAATTCTTTTCCTCCAAATTTGAATTATTATTATTATTTCAAGTAGAGATTATAAACACATTTTTCCCAAACAAGAACATTGAACTAGATGAAGCACATTACAAATTTTAATTTACGGATCAATTTCAAAGAAGCAGTTAGTAAGAAAATGCTCAAAACTGTATATCAAAATATAACATCATTTACAGTTACCTTGATAACATCCATGGGCTGCTGTATGCGTCTAAACAGCTGTCTAGCCCATGATATTTTTCCTGATACTGGTGGCATGTCTCTTGGTACTGGAGGATCTTCTTTGTTCTTCTGATACAACTGATAAACAAAATTATAACTTGTGTAGATTAGAATAACGTTAATTTCATTTTTTCATTTGTATCAGACCAAAAGAGAACTGATGGACTTTGCACATAAAAATTGTGAGACAGACACAACTATTAAGGTTGGTCATAATTACTGTCTGGTACTTCTAACAAGGTGATCTTACCTTCCGTATCGTCTCTAGCTCAAATCCAAAATGGTGCAGTATTACGGCGTATTTCTCCTCAATATTCAAATGCGAAATATTTAATCTCTCAAATCTAGATTTAAATGCAATACATCCAAAAAAAGGGAAAATATATATATTAAATCACAATGCAATTATTAAAACCAAATAGCCAAATCCTTTTTACTGTCCTACCTACTTAAAACTTGGGAGGGAGGCAGACTGACAGATAATAGTTACAGTATTTTACATTAAAAGACCCTTAACAACAGGGCAGAAAGTGTGTCAACAACTCTTGCCATAACTCAGTTTTAAATGTAAAGCACATAAAGGAAACTTTCTTGTTTTATGCAATATATAAGACTAATATTTTCATTATTATTAATGTTAGCAAGATGTCTTTATAGAACATGACTATTACCTAATACAATGTGCATATAAAATTTGTATTGTCATTGCATCTATAATACATTGGACTGCATTCATATTCAAGTGTCAAATAACTATAGTAATATTTGAAGGCTGTGAATTGTATAGCAACATTTTTTTTTTGTAAACCCAAGACCCTGAGATTTATGAGAAGGCAAGCATTTTAACCACCAAACTACACCTCCACATACCGTCTTAGAAGCGTGAGAGCTTGCACAGATGAAGATATTTTGCTAAAGCAGCTATCCAAGAACCCTTGAAGCATACACTAGTCAGAGGAAACAAAGGCACATGTTATTACAACTATTACAATTAGCAATAAGTTTCAACGTGAAACATACTAATGTAAATTGCATGCATTTTACATTAATTTTTAATATTTATGTATTACAATATACAGTATTTGGTTAAACACAAACTTTAAAACAAAATTTGTTAATAAATTATACAAACAAAATTTATTGACAAAAAAGAAGATCATATACTAAAAAAAAAAAAAAAAAATTAAATATATGATCTTAAATATTGTATATTATTAATAAAAACATATATTTCCCAAAGCATGGATAGCTTATTTCTATTTTGTAAACCAGGAATATCCCTGTTGATAAATATCGTTGTACAAATCATCACAAAATCTACATGCAAGAGTACACGAGAGAGCAGCTTAGCTCAGTCAGCTAATCTGGTAGTGAAGATCTCTAGGTCTCCGGTTCAATTCCCATCGTTGCCTCTCCTTGTGTTTCAGCTAGAGGGCTGAAATACAAGTTACAATAGTGCACTGTCTTTCGAATGAGATGTTTAAGCCGTTGGTCCTGTGTGCATTATGGCCCATGTGCACGTTAAAGAACGCAGTACACTCTTTGGAAAAGAGATGGGGATTGTCTCCCGGTGTACTGCCCAATCACCACCAGAAGGACTCCACTGGAAATAAGTCTTCTTCTAGACTTTTGTGGGCTATCCTTAGTGTTTACACCATATACAATTCTCTGCAACTTACCTCTAAGTCATATACAGACTTCTTAAATTCATCATAATCCATGTCAAAGTCTATTTTACGGTGGTCCAGAATATCATAAGGTTTCTTCTTAATGTTGGCATAGATAACTTGGAACTTATTTGCCAATGGGTCTATACCCTCAATACGGGTTGTGGTCAACACAGAGAACATCTCAATTGTATTAACCACATCAATTATCTGGGAAGTCAATAAATTATTCATTACATCAATCAATCACATATTTCTATCCTAATTACAAATAAGCAATAACATAAAATCAGAATCGGTATTTGTGCATGCAATTTGGAAATAAACCACCATTTATAATAACATTCATACAAAAGGGCAGCAATTAACAATCAATAACACTAACAATACTTAATAATTTGTTAATAAATTATACAAACAAAATCTTCATACTTATATATCTTATCATCACACTAAGCTAATACATAAATATCCACCACATTAGTATTTAAGCATTTATACTTGAGCATCAGTTTAAATACCTTTTCACATCTCTTGCAGAATGCTTCAAATTTTCCAAATATGTACATCTCAGAAAACTCAAATGGACGCTCCCCTGGTATTTCATCAATCTTTTTCTTGGTCTTTTGAAAGCTTTTCTGATATTCTTTGTACAGCTGCATTGACGCCTTCAGTTTTCCAATAAGTGGTGCACAAGGTTGGTCCCAAATACGATCCATTCCATTGTTTGTAATGAAATGTTTGCATGCTGTAACCATTTGATTGGTGACCTGAATTGACAGAATAATTTAATGGTGATAATGTTGATAACAGTGCTGATTACATTCTGTCTCTTATACACATCTAGATGTGTATAAGAGACAGGCTTTCTACTTTGTGCATTATGCTTATAACATTAAATTAACCAAATAATGATCATTTCTAGAATATCAATAAGTACTGCAACAGTGCAAAAACACCAGGTGAAGAGCTAGTAACAGAACTATATGGCAATAAAAGAAATGACAACAGCACTTTTAAGAGTAAGTTGTATAAAATTTACTCCCTAGCTTTCGTCTACACAGTGGACTTCATCAGGAGATTGATGGACGTGGCTACATTATTTATTCATCAGGACTATATGAGTAACATCAATAATACATCAGTGCATAAATACCAGATGAAAAGCCAGCAACAGGACTGGAATGGGTACACCAAAACTACATCCTTGCATAACACCAAATAGAGACCTAGCAGCATGTTTGGATTAATTACATCAACAAATTATTGGTAAATAAAAGCAGGAAGGAGTGCTATCATAAACAGGTGGACAGAACATACTTTAAATTATGTGTCACTTGGCTTAAACAGGATATTTATACCATTTATAATATTATATTTCACCTTGAGAACCTTGCTCTTAGCAGCATTCAGTGTACTGATGACCATCTTGCAATGTTTACTCTTAACCTGATCCAAGATGGAGTTGAAGCGAGCCATCAACAAACGCCAATGCTCAAGCTCAGCAAGAGGTCCTGTGTCGTCAGCTTCCTTCCTCATTTGTTCACTCTCTGTTAGAACCTATTAAAATATTTTAGTTCAATAAATTTTTATACAAATAATCAGTTCTAGATGTATTGACCACCCAGGGGTGAATCCAGAGATGTTCAAAGGGGGGAGGGGTTGAAAGTGGGGCCGATCGAGACAACACTACCTACCCTAGGGGGTCCGGGTAATACCCAGGTCAAATTTTTGTTTTCTAAACACCCGAAAATAACCTCTGAGGCGTTTTGGGCGATCAATTTTTTCTCTTTCTTTATTTCTTTCCTTTTTCTTTTCTTTGTACTTTCCAAAAGGGGACCCCCTAAATCCACCCCTGCCACCCCCACAAAACATGATAAAAATATATAAGATATGATTAAACAAAGATTTCTATAATATTCACTAAGGGCCATTCATGGTCCTTGCTTGTGTTTTTCAGAATTCTACCTTTACTGTTTTCCTCTACCAATGATTAAACTTTGGATTGGCTTGAAATTGGATTTAAAATCTATCCAGAAGTCTATATTACTGTGCTACAGATGCCCAAGATATATAATTAGGTGTTATCTACTTGTTCTATTTCTTTACACCAATGATGCACCAGATCTTCCAGGATTGCCACAGTGTCTGGATTGGCAGCAGCGGCTAAGCAATCACTAGGAGTGAGAAGACTTGCGACATCAAAACTATCACAGCCATGCAGCTTCACAGCACCTGATATGCTAGTTTTTGCACCTGAAATATACAATTTGGCACATGATGTAGAAGTGGTATCATTGCAGCCTTCAATATTTATGCATTTTAAAACTACAACTTTGGTATTCTCAGCACAACAGAAGAGTATTGACAGAGCTGGTAACAGTCGTGTTGGCGATGTGGACAATGATGATTATGATGATATAATAACAAATAATAATAGATATAAAATGAGATGGTAGGACTTTTATGACTAACAATACAATATAGTTTATTGCACAAGCTTTCACCCAATTGATGGGGTGCAATGAATAAAGGATACTATAAAATATCTATATTTATAATATGTATTATAGGACAAGCAATAATTTAATGGTGATAATGTTGATAACAGTGCTGATGACATTGATGATAACGGTGCCAATAATGATGAGTGATGATAATGATGATGATTAACAGCAATCTTGATGGGCAACATATACCAAATCTGGAATCACATTCATTCCTCACCATTGATAAAGTCGATGAATGTATCAAAGGAATCAAGGAAAATCTGCTTGGTCTTTTTCCCATGAGGTGTTTCTGAAAGTGCTCCCCAGTTTCTAAGTGCATGGGCTGCAGGATTGTGAACTTTACTCAACAGTTGTTGGAGAGCAGGAAGAACAGTTAAAATTCCAGCATTTTGACAGCTGAATCTCCCGAAGTTCACTTCCTGAAAATAACAAAAATCTCTCAACAAAACAAAGATAATACAGAAATGATATCTAGACTTATTATTAAATTAAATGAAAAATTTCTACATTAGTACATTTTTTATATATATTTATTTATTTATTTACTTTTATTTCCCTATTGACTGCGACATATATGAGTACTGTACAACACATTGTGCGAACATACTTGAACGAGGTTATGCACAGTAACCGAAGATGATGATGATTGTACAAACTATGCTCAAATAATATTTCAATAATTCGCACTGTAGTCTACCTGTGACTAAGCATCAGATTATACAAATCAATCAAATTTTATTCAAAAACAAAAATTCATATCTACACAATAGAACACAGAGAGTTGTCTTCCAAGGTCTTGGGGCCACTTATTTTCAACCTTTTTAATAATGATTTAGCATATGCATTACCTCCATGTGCTTTATTTGCAGATGATACAATCATTTACAGAGCCATTACAGTATGCAAGACGAGTGTCTTGTTCAGTGTGATCTAGATGCTTTAGAAGGATGGTGCAGTAGAAATGAAATGACACTAAATTCCTCAAAAACCAAATCCTTCATATTACTCATCATCCAATATGTTCTTAATAATGCTCCAATAGAGTCTGTACAATCACATACTTATCTTGGAATAACCCTGAATCAACCTCACTTAAAAACCATGTTAAGGCTATTACATCCAAAGCTAGCAGACTTCTTGCCAGTACAGTCGATGGGGCATCCCCAAAAGCTAAATTCTCCCTCTATCGTGCTCTTGTACTCCCTGTACTTGAGTATGGTATTCCAGCCTGATTACCTCATACAGCCCACATTCCAATAGTATAGAAAAAATCCAAAGAAGAGCCACAAGACTGGCATTGGGACAATTTAGAGATGATATTGAATATATAGACAGATTATCTAAATTTAACTGGCCACAACTCTCAGTCTGTAGGCAATTTCTTCTGATTTCATTTATTTGCAAGGTTCTCCTGTGTTATGTTGACTGTACAAGTATTTCCAACTCCATTCAAGTCTGTACTTTTTTACCCCGCCATACTCTTTCCTTTAATACCTTAAAGCAAATCATGATTCTCTTCACAAATCTGCTACACACACATTCCCCCATCTTTGGTAAGACCTTCTTAATGACCTTAAGAATTCTCTCATCCTTGATTCTTTCCCCATATTCATTTCTAGACTCAAATCACACCTGTATATACAATCCCTCATCTGAATAATAATGGTTTTAATAAAATGATAATAATGGTAATAATTAAAATAGTAGTAGTGGTGGTAGTGATAATAATGATGATGGTGGTGATGGTAGTGATGATGATAATAGTAATATTGTCATTATCACTATTATTATTGTTATGATTATTATTATTAATAGTTATGATGATGGTGATGGTGATAATGATGTTTGACTTGTTGCTCCTCTCTTTTATTTTACTGGTTTCATTTTTCTTTACATTTTTGCATGATGTTTATTTTTGTGTTTTATATTAAATTTTAATGATAGTGTATATAATTGTTGTAATTACTGGATGGGAGTGGTTCTCTGACATTTTTTTTATAGTAATTAAGTTTACTTAGAGACCTGACCCTCCTATCCAGATGTCTGGTTTGCCAATAAAGAATAAGAATAATAAGAATAAGATGAAATGATCTAAGTCAATCAATTGGTATCACATCACATGAATGTTAGTATAAACATTGATATTGTAGTATGAATAATAAACCAACCTCATGTACATTCCTTGCATTGATGGCAGTGCTAGCATCCGACTTGATGAAGTATAAACAATTTCCAATAAGAGCTTCACTTGTACCATCAGTCACAATCATGCCATGCATCTTGGCTCCTTTTGCTAGGCCTAGATTTCTTCCAGAATCTGGTTTAGTACCCAGAACAAAAAACATAATTTAAGAAACGAAATTTAAAGGCACATAAAAAAAATTATTAGATTATATCACTCTTTTAAAAAAAAAAAATTGATGAGAGCAGGAGGTTTTCTTTCTTTCTTTTTTTTTTTTTTATTTCGGGGGGGGGGGGGTAGCATTTTACCCGGGGATTCCCGTGTGACATCGTTTTTTTTAAGTGGAGGATGCATTTAAACTGCCCTGTGATTCAATGGCCTATCCAAAACTAGGCCTATAATATTCCGGTGGGAAACTCATATCAGACATTACTCAAGCATCAAAGGGAAGGGATCACCCTAATTTATAGTAGTCATATGCACCAGCCTTTACCTAAACTTTTTTTCTTGATGTTGTAGGTTAGTTTTTGCCCAACAACAACAACCAATCCAACCAAACACACCCATCACAAGGAAGACCGTTCACTTGTATTGCATGATGTAACAAGTTATTTTTATCAGTAAGTGTCTCTGTGGAACATGCGAGTCTTCATGCTGTAATCAACGATCCGATCAGCCCACTGGGCAAATCTATTTAGGGACGGACCGCGGTGTTGCCTATTTTTAGCCGCAGCTGTGGAACATTAACGATCCAATCAGCCCACTGGGCAGGTCTCTTTAGGGACGGACCGCGGTGCTGTCTATTTTTAACAGCAGTTTAGTGAGCTGTTTATTTTTAGCAACAGTATACAATTTTAAAAATGGGTTTTGCATTTTCAACTTTACGGCGATTCCAATGTCTGATCTAACCAATTGGAAGAGTTTGAAGTCTGCCAAATTATTCGGAGCCAATTCTTTTATATTTTGTGAGCAATTCTTTTTTGCAAAGTTGTTTTTATGCAGTTAAAATAAATGTGACAAAAAAGAAAAACAAATAAATAAATAAATAAAAATAAATTTATTCCCGCATCAATATTTCTGAAATTTTTGAGGCGTGCGGGAGTGATAATCTAATAAATTTTTCTATTTTCCCTAAACTATAATAAATTTGAGTAACTAATTAATTACTTTACTTATTTCGTAAATAAATACATATATTCTAATAGTTTCATCTGGTTTGCTTATAAAGATAGTAGAACTGTTTAATCAAAGACAAACGGATGCTAGCTCCCACAGCCTGAGGAAGTCATGTTGATAACATACACGAAAGCTCACAGTAAATTTATATATAATTGTGCTTGGTTTTATTGTTGATTAAACACTACTACTATAAATACATAAGCAATCATAAAAAGAAATCTGAGACAAGACAAACCAGAGTATTAGTCCGGGGGCATATGTCGAAAAATGGGCTCCCGTGGGATTTTTGTGATCATTTTAGTTTTTTGGATGGAATATTTTGAATTTGTGTAAACGATTAACTTCTGTACTTAAAACCTATACTTACTACTGCTGTTCTAAAATATTGTTTTTATTATTAGTTATTTTTGCAACTTACCTGTCTTTCTCTGATTGTTTCAGCTTGAAAAGCAATCATTGCAATACTCTTTCTCTGGGTGCGAAGACGTGGAGGTAAATTTTGCTTCTTTCCATCACTATCAACAAATGATCCCTGGCGGGATTGCATGTTATCTTTGGACATATTTATTTTCTGTGGAGAAAAAATGTTTTCCATAGTACCTAGGTAGGCCTATTGGATGAGATAGGCCTAGTCCTAGATTGACTTGACTAGGCCCCTAGCTAGGCCTTTACATTTTATTGTAAATAATCACTAAAAAAATATCACTCACATGTCCAGGTCCCTGTCTGTACAAATTTTAAAATAGGCCTAAGCCTACCTTTATGCTTTTTTACAGTAATAATAACATAACAATTCAATAAATCTCCTAAATCAATGACCAGGTTTACCCCTAGGGCCTAGGCTAGGTAGGAGCTAGGCCCTAACCTAGTGCCCAGGCCCTAGGCCTATATGATTAAATGTGTGATTGAGAATAGGCCCTACCCCTAGCCTATGAAGAGGCTAGGCTACCTAAGCCTAGGCTTGGCTAGGCCCTAGGTAGGAAGACGGTAGGACCTAGCCTAGCTAGGCTGAGTGAGAGGTATTTAAACACCAAGTTTAGCTAGCCTATATAAACAGCATTATCTAAATACAAAAAGAATTTCATATGTACCTTATTTTGCTTACTTAAATCTATAGAAAAACTGCGTTATTGCAACCTTATTTCACTTCCTAATGTGGTTGGCTAACTAGGCTAGTCTACTTCCTTCTTCATCGCTAACGGAGTGCGCCACGAGAAAACAAGCAGACGATCTGCTCCGGGTGGTGGTTAACTTTTTGGAAGATCTTTCGAAAACGCACAATCCACACGCTCACACAAACCTTTGACCAATCAGATTTCAGCCTTTTTCTCTGGTAACCATAAAGCGCCCTCAATAGTTAACTTCTGATTTTCATACTCCGCGACAGAAAGCCAAGAACAAGTAAAGTAAATGAGCCAACACAAGCGAAATATATTTCGAACACAAGCGAAATATATTTCGGTAGTATTGTGGGGATGTAATTTGCGTGCATTACATACTAGTTCCAAAACTCGTTTCTTTTAACCAAGGACAAAAAAACATAAATGATGTTTAAAAATGAAACATAATGATGTTTGAAAATTTGATACAGTACCTTCATATGATTTTTTAAGCCCCAAAAATATAGGAATTGATGGTTGACAATCAATCTTAGAATAATTAGGCTCCTGGCCTATAGAAAAAAAATTGACATGTGCTGGGGCAATACAACATTTATTATGGGTACTATTTGTGAGAGGTATCATAGTAGGTATGCCAGGCTCATGCTCTGTAGCAAATTAGGAATATGTTTACACATTTTAACAAGCAAAGAGATGGAAATTATTCTGGCAAAAACAGCAGTGATTCTCTTCGATTTTTCTATCCTGTTGAATAAAAACAAATAAATGTGTAGGTTTATTTACACAGTCAACATAGCGAATGTATAATATTGTGGATGTTAATATAATAATAGCAGGCAATAATGTTTATAAAAATGGAATTATGATAACCATAGGCCCTATTATGTACAACAAAGCAGGTGTCAACATTTTGTAACCCAGATTTTACAAAACTCTGTAAAAATTAATAAATATATGTGGATAGTGGAATGACCTATGCCTTGCAGGCTTCTGTAGACATTTCCCAATCTGGATTGAAAAGTTGTTGTCGAAAATATCCGATGTTGCAAATGACTAGGTTTCAAAAACTCTAGGTTACTACATTTTATTAACCACGCAAAAGATATAAAACAATGAATCATAGATAACACCACATACAATAGGAATCCCATTATTTCATTTATTTACTTATTTCTTTACAAGTGATGGGCCACATAATGGATAGCTAGATAAACTCTCTCTGTTGCTTAGGAAAGGAGTGGACTTTACTTTTTCACATCTGTTAGTACCATAATCTGTTTGCAGTACCTTTTCTATAGTTGCTTGTTTAGTTACCTCATTATCAATCATAGAGCCTACATTAGATGTATTTAACATTTAAAATATTAGAGTACTAAGAATATATCAAACCTATTAAAATATTGAATGCATGGAAGGCCTACAAGAATAATGTTCACATTTTATCATTAACATAATGTGGGCCTAAAATACTGACGAAATCTGAACGTATCTCAATATTTTCTTTTCCGTACATACATAATTATTACCAAAATAATATACTACAGTTAAACTTGCCTAAGTCCAATAATTTCAAAGTTGAACTTAATTTACATGCCAAATTGTTGTGCTTTCCATTAATTAACAATCTGTAAGTCAAATTTTATCGAAGTCAAACAATTTTTCAATGGCATTTTGGACTTAGGCAAGTTCAACTGTATTTAATAATAGCATTATACAGTATTTATTCAATTTACATACTTGAGGTAAAGAGGAACACTGTTATTGCAAATTCATCAAACTCTATTTGATTACATGATAGTAAAAGCAACAACTTTTATTATCTTATTTAAATTAGCAGCATATAGTGGATAAAAATACAATGTGTAAATTTTCAAATTTGTCAATACTGTATTATTTCATTTAAACTGGTCAATCACATTGTAAAAATATCAATACAATTTAATGTCAAATTAAAAACAATATAATTAAACAGTTAAATAGGAACAATTAAATTGTCCACCACCTAATGGATAAAATTATTACAATGTCAAAATTTTTAAATTTTTAAATTTTATCACATGGTAAAAATAACAATACAATTTAATGTCAAATGAAATGATCAAAATGAAAACAATATAATACTGTAAACAGTTAAAGGAACAATTAAAATGTCCAAGATTAATTCATTTCGAAGTTAATTAATTTTCCTGTCTTGAGTGATTGCTCACAGGTCTCTGCAAGACGTGTTGCTAACAAACACTGGTATTCAGTGACATCTAGTGACGGCTCAATTCCTAAAACAGATAAAATAGAAACAAATTAAATAATAACAGCTCAACACCTCAGCTAACATATTAACATGAAAACAAATGAAACAAACAATAAAATAGAAAAATTGAATTCTTCAATGAGCTGCATTTGAAAGTGACAGCAAATGGTATTTCAATTATGAAATGTAACACTAAAAACAAAACATAAAAAAAAAAGGAAACCTTTTTAACAGAACTGGCAATGGAAACCCACTTTAAATTTAGAATGAATGCCATATAAAAAAGGAAGACAATCCACTACTCATTTCATTCTTTAACACGCAAAATGCCATATTGCTTAAGCATTTGATCCTAAATATGAAGCACAATGGTAGACTGGCATTACAGCCTTCTCTAGCAGAAATACGAGAGCAGTAATTAAATTCAACAAGAAATAAAGGCCAAGAAGTAGAACAGTTCACAGTGGCTATGTTCTGTCTCTTATACACATCTTCTACCGTGCGAATAATGTATTATTTACTATTTGCATGGTAGACAATGTTTGTATGATATCTGAAAAGGTATTTCGGTTCGATTAGGTATTCCGTAACAAATTAAGTAAGTTTCTCTTAAAATATTTAGGTCTTTTGAGACGATACCGTGTTAAATATTGTTAATTTATGACGTACCGTGCTAATTGGGAATAAGAACTTATTGGCACGGTTAGATTAGACGTCATGAAACGTCAAATGCTGATTGGCTAGGTCTACCGTGCGAATAAGACTCATAAGAGCTTATTCGCACGGTATACCGTGCGAATAACCACTTTCAACCAAAATACAAAAATTTGTCAGCCTTGCTACATTATTCTTAATACATTTTGGCACAGAAACACCCTAGCTTGTGCATAATTTCATCTGATTTAACATCCACCAAGTTTCTAAACACACCCACAATACAAAGGTATAATTGGCCATTATCATAGTGTCTCCTTACTCATCCATTTCTAGGTTTCAGTCTGCTCATGAATATAAATATGGCTGCTCATATATAAAAGAATGTGTGTCTATTCAAATTAAAACATAGGTTTTGTGAGGTAACTTGACGCTATATAACTTCCAAATTTAGAAAGTGCTTACCTGATATTTTTAAAAATGACAATGCAGGTTGAGGGTAATCCCTGCTAGTGGTTTTAATTGATCTGACTTGACCTATTTCACCAGCTCTTACACGCATGTAAACTTCACGTATAGATGGGTCAAATCGCCTGCAAATAAACATATTCATATACAATATTGTATATTTTATTTCTTTTTATATATTTCTTCTTTACCTTGGGTGACCTGGTCAGTGCAATTGCATTGTTATCCTCCAGGGCCCAGAAACACATACTGTACAATAAAATACAATAAAGTTCATAGACAATTAATAAGGGCTTTAGAAATTGAAATTGTAAGAAGGATATATTAATAATAATAATAATTATTATTATTATACAATAACAATAATAATATAATAATACTACTACAATAAAATAATATAATGATAATAATAATAATAATAATAATAATAATAATAATATTAATAATATGAAGATTTGCAATGGCAAACAACAAAAACCTAGTTACTCATTTGCATGGGGATGCTGACAATGTGTCTCTGCATAATGTTGGCTTTACTACTTTCTGCCTTTTGTATTGTTTCTTATTTAAGCATGTAGAGGGCCCCCAAATATCAGCCTAGCTAGAAAGTTCACCCTCTTATAAAGATGGTTGAAATAACTAAATTCTATAGAAGGCAGAGACACAAATAATTCTGTTTAATTTTATAATTTTACTGTAACAGAATCATTTGCTTCACAGAATAACCCAACAACTCCAATAAATTTCAAGCCTTAAATTGACTGTAAGTACAAAATGGCCTGTAAATATACAAAAAAATCTATCTGAGTGACATTTAAGGTACCATATTTGGTATTTTTTGTATTAAAAAATCTTGAGTATACTTCTGTATTTTCAGACAGACTGTACATCTTTAAAATGTTGTAAGCACCAGTAAAAGTACTAGTCATATTTTTATATTTATTCATCTTCACCTGTTGAAGGCACAGTATAATAACTGGCCGTATTGCTTCGCAGCAGCGTAACATGCTTTCACTTCGTCTTCTTCCATTGCTATAGGTTTCTCACAGAACACAGCTTTGCCTGTGAATGATACTATTTTTAATCTGCACATATCTTTGGGTGTGCTGGAGAACATATCTCTCCCCCACCCACCAAAAAAGCTAATTACCCCAGCCACTCCACACTGAATATGTATGAAGTACATAAAAATATATAAAATATAAAAATAGTTAAAAATCAGTTATTATCATATTACTTTATTCTGTAACTAGCTCCCACCCCTCACTTCATTATCACTCCCACTTACTCCACCTTCGTGCCCCAACATCAGCCCCTCTTCCCTTTCAAGACTATTAGATATGCCACTGTTCCCATAATGTTATTAAAATCATTAAAAAAAATAAATGGAGGAAAATTTAAACCAAAAACAAAATCAAAGTCAAAATTTAAGATAAAAAATGGATAATGATAAAGAATGAGACAGCAAAAGGACAACTTCAACACTCTATGAAAGATACTCTATGGCGTGACAAGCACTAAAGAAAAAAACACCTGTGCGTAGGCAGGTAATGCATAGTAATTAACTCAAAAAATATTCAGAATATAATATTTTACAAAAGAATCTTTGTTGATCTATATATAAGCAATAATAATGTTTTATGAACATTTTTACTTTCATACCTTTTTACATTTGTTACATTATTTATATATATTTATATTTTTATTGTTTACCTGTTCTTTTTTTGTAATTTTGAATATTTATTTCTTTCTTTTATGTGTGTCTTATTGTATTGGTTTTATAAGGACACCACTGAAAATGAGCATGACTATCGTCGGCTTAATGGGTAATCCTAGTGCTCTTTTGTCTTTCTTTCTCATGCATTGTTATCTCGAGTACCTAATAAATCAAATAAAAAAAAAAAAAAAAAAAAAAAAAATATATATATATATATATAAATCAAGATAGTTGTTAACACTGTTAAATTATATATAAATCATCAAAGAAAGGTAAATACAGCGTTGGAATAAAGGACTTTTATACACACCCACACACTCTTACCCACCCAATACATATTCCCTAAACATACTCACTACTGTAACACACACTGCTACCTCCTACACTCCGCTACTTACCAGATTTTAAAGCTGCTATGATAAGGCTAGAATGACAAGCAGTCGGTACGCATACAATAACCACTTCCACACTAAAAAGCAAATATCAATAAACTATATAACTAATTAATGATTATCATCAACAAACAATGAAAAACAAATTTTAATAATATTCCAATATTAAAACAAAGTTTAATTTTAGAATGTTACTGTAATGGTAATATTAATATAGCTAGTTAATATGCAGTTCACTGTCAATAGTTGGTATGCATACAATAACCATTTCTACATTAAAATACAAATATCAAATAACTATTTAATAAATTTATGAATATTATCAACAAAAAAAACCAAATTTTAATATTATATATTTTTTAGAAATGTTATAAATCTATTGTGAGTTTATTTTTATTCTGCAGAATTTTGATTTGGACTTAATTTGGAACTAACTGAAGTTGTATGCTGAGGTCCGAAATGGACTTACCCAGATATTTACTTCTAAGAATTAAATTTAACAAATTTTCAGGATTGAAAATTATTCTTTTTATCTTTATGCTATTTAAAGAGCCCAGTACAGCTTTCAAAACAAATAAGGGGTTACCCAGGTGTATTGGTTCTTTCATACAGCCCCTGCAATGGAAAGAAGAGAGTAGCTGGCATGGGTTTACCTTGTAGCAAAGAGTATAAATAGAACAAGAGAGCAAAGTCCCGTTCGTAAAAACGTCACGCCTGTGTAGGACGCCCACTAACGGTTGTATGTTCTTTTTATTACCCAGTGCAGCGCTGCGCAGCACAGTAGAAGTACGCCCGCTATAAACTCTTATAAGCAGAAAACAAAAGTGCGCGGTGGAGTACTGGGTAATAAAAAACATACAAGCGTTAGTTGGCGTCCTGCACTAGCTGCGTAGAGCGTATGGTTTTTTTACGCTCTCAAGGAGCGTTGTTAGCTCTCTTGTTCTATTTATACTCTTTGCTTGTAGCTCATACCCTTAGAAGAGAAGAAAGTTACTGTACAAGCTAGTCCATGCCTCCAGCGCTTTAAAACTTTGGTATAAAGCACTATATAAACGATATCCGACTACATTACACTACAACCACTACCAATTTCAATCAGTAAGTTGTTCAACTTACCTCTTGTCTTCTATGACTTTGTTAACACCATTAGCCTTTACTATTTGAACAGAATCATCTAAAAAGCATTCATTTCTTATTTTATCAGCTTTCTCCAGGTCCTCTTCTACAATCCACTTCACATATACCCTTGGATTACGCACCGCATTTCCAATATGGATCAAACCAGCTCTTCCAAGGCCGCAGATAGCAACACATATTTTGCGTGGTTGCGACATGTGTATGTTTTTTTAGGGAAAAATGGACAGAATCTGACTTGACTTGAATATGAGCTGAAAACAGAAAAATATGTCAAGTATATTTATAGGATTTTTTTTCAAAATTTAAACACTCTTGTTTCTGACAGTATGTATGTTATGTGTAGCAGAAATTTTATGTGCAGTTTGTCAGATTTTCAGTGTCTCAAAACTAAAACTGTGCAAGAAACCTTTAAACAAAGTAAAAACCGTGCTAGAAAATGAGGCTCAGTCACCATGCTCTGTAATGCATACCGTAGGCCTATTTTAATACACTACTTAGATAGGCTTTTCTTTTTCCATCTTGATTACAGAGGTCAAAAACATTTTTTTATTTTTTTAAAATCATATAGTGGTGTAGATTAGTCTTTTAAAAACATTTTGCTGGAAATATTTTTTGGATACGACGCCCCGTTATGGAGTTTTGATTTTTTTAATAACATGATGTCAGAAAATCAGCCCAAAAGCTTATCTTATTTCTGTTGGTTACGCACCCCAATGTTCGTCATTACTTCAAGATGTCTACTGATTCAAGGAAAAGGCCTTTTCTTTGGACAGGGGGGGTCCATGCCTGTACGACAGGACAGCTGACTAGAGACTACCTAGGGCCTAGGTAGTCTCTAGTCAGCTGTCCTGTCTAGCGGCAGGGCCTAGGCCCTATTATGTATTATAGGGTGGTTGATAGCAGTTAGAATAGAATTACGGCTTTACACTGGAATAGGCCTAGGCCTAGTTTTACTTTTAGATTTACCAGGCGCGCCTGGCCCTGGGTGTTGAGAGCGGGCTAGCTAGCTAGTAGGCCCAGCCTCTGAGGCTCTGTCTAGGCCTAGGCTAGTAGTAGTAGTTATAGTAGTAGGAGGATAACTCATGGCATGGGGCCTAGTAGTTTGTAGTAGCTAGGCTCTCTTGCATACCTACCAAGTCTCCCACATCTGACGGGAGCATCTAGGCAACACAAAATTTCCGGGGCCTACGCGGGCCCTTCCGTGGTGGTGGTAGACAAATCTCTAGCCAGCACTTCTCTCAAACTTGGCATGTAAGCCTACGGCTTGTAGTAATTAGGGCAAAGAGTATAAATAGGCCTAGACCCATAATTATACTAACCATGGGCAGTACTGTCTATTGCTAACACTTATTTCACTACTTCAAACGATCTAAACCATACAAAAGAAAAAAAAGAAGTATGCTCCAGCCCTATCTTCCCATTTCCTCTTGTGTTCAGATCACAGACAAGGATCTTGGATTGTGTAGTTAGTAACAGGGTTGCCAGATAGTCGACAGTCTTCGCGGCCAAACACACGCCATCTCACGGCCAATTTCGGCCAAACTTTTTTTCGGTATCGGCCAAAATTCGGCCAGATTTTAATCCGATTAGAAGACATAAGTGGGTACATAATTACACGAAAATCAGCGGTCATTCGTTAGAAATTTAAGAAATTCAAATGATATACACAGAACAATGTTAAACTTTCACTGTTTTTCATCTTTTACTTATCACCATAAAATACATGCCCAGCTACATCATTATAAATAGCTTATTAATATTATGTTCTTTAGTTGCTGGCATGTAGGGGCGAATCCACAGATGTCCGAAAGGGAGAGGGTCCGGGGCCGAAAAAGATAACACCATCTTGGAGAAATTTTTGTTTTCTAGACGCCCGAAAATAACCTCTGATACGTTTGAAAATTGCGTTAAAATCACATTATTAAAATTGATCTAAATTTGATTTAAATGTATTA